CAATCATCTTACCTTACCATTCCTAAGCTTGCCACAAATCTAGTAAATTAAAACTTTTTTTATAAGTTATTAAGCGCTTTAGTTAAAGTAGAATATAAAATCTAAATTACTTATTTTTATAGGCGTGCCTAAAACTAATAAGAAGAAATATTAAATTCACGCGATAACGCGCGAATATTTAGTTTTTTAATATATTTAGTAGTTTTATAGGCCTTTAAAATACAATTCTTAACTTTAGAATAGGAATTTATAATAATGGTAGTAGATAGTAGGTTAAAAGGCTTTAAAAATTATATTAAGGTAAAAAATTACATTAAGGTGAAGCAGACTAACCCCCGAAGGCGGGGTGGGGCTGCTTACTAGAGACGGCTATCACCTGAGTACAAAGACTCGCAAGTTAGGGACATAAGCAGGTCTAGTACTGGTAAGACCTCTCGATTCTAACCTTATGGGCCTATATCTCCTGTGGGGACTAAGTCTTGTATCTCTCAGATATGGTTGAGATTAGAGTGGGTTAACCTCACCGTTGTACCTCACCATAACCTGACCATAACCGGCCAGGTTAGGTTAAGGTATAAAGAATCTAATAACCGGAGAGATACAGTTAGGGTTAAGATTAAAAATTATACTTTACCGGATTAACCGGCCGGTAAAATAGGAGAGATTAATTTAGTAAGAGTACTAACCGCAGGTTAAACAGTAATTAATATATCTTAATTACCTTTATAATTTACTGTATTTTTTTATTTCGGTATTAATACTCTTGTGATCCCGTAATATAATTTACTGCTTAGAATAAACTAATTAAAATATTCTACTTCGAGAACACGTTAAAAAAAAAATATCTATTATCTACTTTCTATTCTTTATACTATCCCGGGCGTCGTTAATAATATTAAAGAGATTATATTTTTTTAACAGTCTAGATAGTATATATAGGTTCTAGTAACAATCTATCCTCCGGATCCTTATTTATATTATTTATATCCTTATTGTTACTAATATACAAAGGCGCTTCGGTTATATTATTATTTTCTTCCTTATGTACAAAGATAATAGAGTTAGGATTAACCTTATTAAGAATCTGCTGATATTCCTTATTAATAGTAAAGTAATCGGTATATATCTACAGTATAATCGTCTTAATAGTATTAGGATATAACCGACTCCGGCGATAGTAACAGATATTTTAAAAGCTGTTAAAGAGGCATTTGATACTAACACCGTTGGTTACGACTGTAAGAAAGTTTCTTGCCATAGAGTAGAGAATTAGAAACTAGTTACGACGAGATTTCCAGTAGGCAAGAATATTAGTTTAATCGGTAGTGCCTTATCGACAGTAAGCAGAGTGTAGATCTATTTAAAGTACAACTTATCTTCTATATTAAGATAAGCCTTAAGCTCCTTAAAGATTTCTAATAAAGTAGCAAGTCTTCGTCGTTTCGAGAGATAGTAAAATACCTTATTCAGTCTAGATAATAGATCTAAAATAGTCGATAGTGTATTAATACTTAGATTCTAACTATAGTAAAAGTAGAATACCTTCTTAAAAACAGTGCGATATTTTTAATACTAATTAGTATTATTATTAAGCTACGTAGCTGTTTTAAACTTCTTAAGTTTAGAGGTAGGATTAAGAATCATTGTAATAGCGTAGATATAACTCTCTACCTAGTATATTCATCGATAGTATTTCCAGAGTTTTTTGTAGGCTTCTTCTAAGTCTTTAAGAATCTATTATTTCTATAAGGCTTATTTATTCCGAAGATAATTAATGGCAAGATCTAGATAGTTAAATAGATTGTTATAGATATTATATACCCTATAGACGGTAGGGCCAGTGTTTTTTAAGAGGTAGGATGTGAAGATGTAAAATAGATATAGAAGCTCTAGAAGATATTCTAACTGTTTCTATTCTACCGGTGTAGGCCGTAGATAGTCAAGCTTCTGACTATCCTAGTACTGGATAAAGCTCTTAATTAGTTAGCGGAGCTTCAGTGCGCGTTAAATTATTAGATAGAAAGAGTTCCAGCAGATTTTGTAGTTAAAAAGCAGATAGTATATAGATTTAGATTCCAGACGCTGAGTAAGTTAAAATCTTTTACGATATTAAGGGCTAGCGTTTATAAATTTAGTGATTTTTTCGAATCTAGGGATATAATAGATATTAGTAAATACTGGATACTTATTTAAGCTATCTAGAAGGAGGTTAAAGAAGGCTTCCTTAGTATCCCCCTAGATAGCTAGATCTAAGCAACCTTTTCGGTTATAACTAAAAGGAAGCTAAGGAAGCCTTCCTTAGCATCCTCCTAGGTAGCTAGATCTAAGTAACCTTTTCGATTATAACCGAAAGGAAGCTAAGGAAACCTTTCTTAGCATCTTTCTAGGTAGCTAGATCTAAGCAACCTTCTCGGTTATAACCGAAATCTCGGCTAGCTAGCGTATATACCTTTTTAATAGCTTATAAAATACTACTAGACGCTTTAAGCGTTTTATCGCTGTTCTCCTATATATAGGAGACAGTATTATTCTCCGCTGCGATCCGCAATTTATTTATAAAGAAGATAACACAGAGTTAAATAACATAAATAAGATATAGGATATAATACTAATTCCGAAGGATTTTAGAAAGCTCCGGGTCAGCAATAGTATCCTAGATCTAGATATTCGTATTAAGTTTATCGCGAAGTTACTCTGTAAGAAAGAAGAATATAGTACTGTTATTACTTACGTTGTCGGTTATTACCCCTAGTAGACAATAGCATAGATTATACTTATAAAAAACCGACAGAACAATAGCAGCAAGGGTTTTACCTGTATAAGAACCGGATACCAGTCGGAAGTCTAGAATAATCTTATAATAATTAAAATCGTCTGTTAAGAAATAGCTAGTAAGTGTAAGAAATACTTTCTAATCCGGGCTTATCTAACAGTTAAGTATAATTAACATTCTGCTAGTTGCTGGGAACCGCGAGAGTAGCTATATATAGATTTTATCCGATAACTTAATTAATTATTTCTGGATTTACTTTTGATTCGGAATATACAATCTACGAGATAATCCGGCAGCGGCGAGATTAATTATTCGTTTAAATTAGATATACTTAACAGTTCGAAAAGGCAGATAGCAGGCAACGATAAATCACAGGACTTAATTAAGGAATTCTTATTCGGTGTAGATAGTTGTAAGGCCCTAAGAAATCGAAGCTCTTAGTATAAGATAAATAGAAGAAGAACAGATACCCTACCGGTTTTTCACTTAGTATCTAAGCTACTGTTTATTTAGAAGGTACAGAAGACAATTTCTTAGAGCAGCCTTTTCGAACATAATAGGCTATTAAACTAGTTCTAGTATACTCTATTAACGGATATTAGAGCAGATAAAAATATAAAATATAAAAGACATAGAGAGTCCCGTCCGGGAATTATACGCCTTTATAGAATTTGTTCTATACAGATAAGTATCTTTTAGAATTAAATCAAACTACTAGTTTTTTAGCTTTTCTCCGTTTCTAGACCTAAGTAGTAGTATTCTACTATTCTTTAAAGATATAAATCTTTTCTTGCTTAGTTAGATACTAAATAATTTTACGGCCTTTAGAGAGATACAGAGAATTAAGCTTAGAAGATAAAGAGAAAATAGAATAGGTATTAACCTTTATCTAATTATCGCTATTAGTAAAGACTTAGGAGATTAAGAAGGATAGTATAATAGTATCCTGTAAACATAGATTAGAGAGATAAGATTAATATACTATAATAAATAGTAAGGCTTTATTAATGGCATAGATACTAGAAGATAGAAAAGAGAAATTTTTAAAAGACATAATATTAGTAGATTAACAAAGAGAACGCGTCGCGTTACTACTAAAATATAATAAATTTAATAAAGATTAGTGGTAGTTAGGATAGAACCCGTGATAATCTAGCTACTATCAGTGTCTATTACTATAAGAATATTAGAAATAAGGAATATTTTATAAGAAATATAGCATTTCTGTTAATAATAAAGATATAGATAAGGATACTATTACTCTAAATAATTAATATAATAGCTACAATAGAGATTATCTTTAAAATCTACTATTAATGCTGGTAATAGGAAACAAGATATATATTAATATATATTTCTATGCCGTATCTCTGGGTAACACCAGCTTTTATAAAAAAATAAGAATTCTACCAGCTACACTAGAGTCTAGATATTTTTATAAAGATAATTTGAATAAGAGATATAGTTATTTATTTTTAATATTTTTTTAAAAATTAAATAACGCTTCTATTATAGATTTTTAGAAGGTTAGTTAGAAACGGTAAGGTTAATGCGGTTAACCTGACCGGAACCTTAACCGGACTAGATCTAAATAGGTAAGGTATATTGCTTTTAGCGCCAAGAACGGTTAATCAGGTTAACCTGACCTCTTTTTTTTATACCGCGGTCAGGTAAAAATAAGGTACTTAACCTTACCGTTAACCTGCGGTCAGGTTATGCTGGAGGTCCTTAACCTCCCCTCACCTGGCCATTGCCCACTCTAGTTGAGATCTGCAAAGAAAAATATAAGGAAGGTTGCTTATTACTTGCATTTCCTCGTCGGCATACCAGCAGTAGACAGTCCCCTGGTGAGATGCCCCGCTTCTCGTAGACTTTTGGTAATCTAGAGCTCATTTTAGTGTGTGAGGATGACATCGATCATTTTCGCTCCGCTGCCTCGGCAATGTGTCGGGGAGAATACGAAGTACTGCGTACGGATCTCCTTGCTTCATCCACAGTGGGAACCTCACCTTATGCGGAGGAAGGGGCACGAATGCATTGGCGCATTAGCGTAACCGGTGATGAGATTGCCTCAAAAGGGCGGTGGCAGAATTTTGGGTCCAGCGGAATTGCCGCGGACCCAAGACCGGGCTTAGTCATACCGGCGACGAAAAATCGGATACTTCTCGACATCTCTGCGGTTTAGAACCACTGTGCTTCAAATCTCAAAGAACTAGCTCTTGTCAGAATGGGTGTTCAAAGGAAGACACGGAAGTTCGCACAACAGAAGCGAGTCATCAAAGCCCATGACAAGCGATTGTATGTTCCCTATCAATACGCATCAGAGACCAGCACTCACAAACTTTCCCAACAACAGAGTAAAGGCTCAGGATCAGAAGAAACCCAACACAAAGACAGGCGAAGAAGTTCGCGATGTGTATGTTGAGCTTATCACCAATATTCACCGGAGAATCTTCTGACAGCCATGCTATCCCAGCCAACAAGCCCCGTCTTCGCTCTTTTTCCAGTATAACACCGCCCTTACTCCTCCGTATTCTGTGCTAGTCGGTATGAAGGGTCGTGCGGCCACCGTTCTCAGCAGCTAATCGACAAGCAGATACCAACTTCATTTCACATACTATTCAACATAAGCTCGAAGTTATTCCGACCATGATGGACTGTCTGTACGCCAAGTGCATACCCATAGTCACCGACTGTGTCCTTGCAGAATTGGAAAAGCTTGGGCAGAAATACAGACTCGCTCTGCGTGTTGCGAAGGATCCTCGATTTGAACGGATACGGTGCGACCACAAAGGCACGTATGCAGATGATTGCCTCGTTGATCGCGTCATGAAGCACCGCGTCTATATCGTTGCAACAAATGATCGGGACTTGAAGCGAAGAATTCGGTAAGCACCCACTCAGGTCCTTCCAAAACGTCACCTAACATGACCCTCAGGAAAGTTCCTGGTGTTCCGATCATGAGCGTGGCTCGTGGAAAATACGTTATCGAGAGGCTTCCCGATGCCCCCGAGAAATGAGGGACGACTGGGCGACGTTCATGTGAAGTCCTAATGCACCAGCTTTTAATGGTCCAATACCTTCATTCGATGATCACACAACTCCATGATCGCCATGACAACCCATACTGTGCCTGAGCCAAGCACAAGGAATTGCACAGCATTCATGGTGACACTCTGACAAAATGAGCGCTTGGTTGTTGATCTGATGTTAGGATCAAAAAATTCCCGCGCCGATAACAGAGCCCACTTCACCGCTACAATGACACCTTTTACGGCCATTATCAGGGGTTACGGAGTACTTGGCTTACCAACATCTGTTTTATGTACAATGATACACTAAAGCGTCGGTTTTCTTGTCATGTCATGACTTTTGACAATCGTCCTTGGCCTATGATGGGTGCAAAAGCGTATTGTTACGCAACACGCTTGTGTTGTTGTCTCACGTTGCGAGGCCGGTCAAGCATGTTATTGATACCCTTCAAATATTTGAATGACAGTGGATGGTATGGCAGACCAATTCACAGAGTTTGATTCAATCCAAGTCTATGCACAAATCTGTAATATCCCTACAGAGACAATGCTGCTGAAAGCATTGTAGTCTCGTAATATCCTCGAACAAATCTTGGTCTCTGACGGTCGAGCGCGCTGACACCCCTGGCTAGTTAACAGGACTTTCCAATTCCAATAATGCTAATGGTTTGGTCCCGGGTTACAGCTATATGCCTGTTTGGTTTTGCTGGAGAAAACATCAAGGCCGCTTATCTTATCATCTCACCGCCTTCCGAGAAAACATGTAGATCACGAATTTTTTCCGTTGGCTTCAGACACAGCGCTGTAAGTAACTACAGGGTCGTTGCTAGGAATGTATCTTGACTAAGTGGACACCCTTCTCGTTTCAACGTCAGAGTCGAAATCAATGCATGTCACTTCTGACGGAAGGTACTGAGAGAGACCGGGTCTGCAACGATGGGAATCCCGCACCTCTCAAGACACCTGATGCCCTTCTCAGAGGCTGTTGTGCTGGAAGGGAGAAGCGAGTCGCAACTAGACGACGTGGCGTACACTAGGTCCGTTGTAATTGATGGTCCTAGTCTGGTGTATCATGTCTATACCCGTCTGCTCTCTCAAGCAAACCTGAATCTTGAATATCCGGACATTCAGCCGACATGCGACGAAGTGAGTCGTGCTGTCATGTTCTTCCTTTTGCAATTGGCACTGGTCAATGTGAAAATGTATGTTCAGATAATACTCAGCCATGTCAATGGCGCTCGAGGCTGATTTGGATCAATAGAGAAAGCATATGCTTCGATGGCGCCCTACCTGCAGAGAAGCGGGAGACGCGGCTCTCTCGGTTGGAGAAAGGCAGGAGACGTCTCGAGAATTTTCGGTCCAAAGCAAAATATGGATTCAAGGGAACCCAAAGCTCAGTACAAGACCGTACTATGAACCCTCGGCATCTCTTTAGCAGCAGACCCTTGCCTGCGAAATTCAAAGATCTACCCGAGAATCCTTTCATGGTGCCTGCGGTCTTTGAGGACCTTAAAACCAGATGGAACAGAGAAAACATTCTTCAAGTGTCGAAGAATGTGATATCCACGCAGTCTCTCACCCTAGACGACTTTCCATGGGCTGATATTACTGTCATGGTTCCCGGAGAAGCTGACATTCACTGCGCCCATGTCGCAAGGGCGACTGATTGTGCCGTTCTCACCAACGACTCGGATCTCCTGCTTCATAATCTTGGGAGGAGAGGTTCGGTGGTTCTCTTTAATACCGTTGAAATGACATCGAGGGGCGCAACGCCCCAAATAACCGCAGTGCGGTTATCTCCCGCGTTAATCGCTAACCGTTTGGGAGTTCCAGACCTTCTGAGTCTAGCCTACGAACTGAAGACATGCCCAGACATGAGCTTGGTCGAGCTAATACACCAGTCTAAGCAAGACAGGTCAGGGAGTGAGGCTGAATATCGAAGTTTCGCCGAGGAGTATCGACCTGACGATGGTAGCCAGTCCTTGATCCCACCGACTCTCCAATGCCTTGACACAAGGGTCTCAGAGTTATTTTGCCAATACGAGTCACGCATGACCGGCGCTTCAAAGGAAGCTCCGCATGTTTATTTACCGATTCTGGTTGAGGACCATGCAAGACGTTCTGCGTGGATGCAAGGACGTTCAACCAGAAACATTGCTTATTCAATACTCAATGCCTCGCGTCCAAAGCCCGAGAGGTACTCGCACATCAATGAGTTTGTCCGACGTGGTGGACGAATTACTGCGGATAGAATACCTCTGGGCAACGATGACTGGATAGCATCAGAATTGACAAGTCTCCGAGACCGCCTCTTATCAATACAGGAAAGATTCCAGTTGGACTCCGAGTCAGAGGCCTATTGGAGAACCTTTGGCCTTTGCGAAATCTTCGCCGAGGCATCTTCAAATACTTTCCCAGATTATAGGCAGCTGGGCCGCTTTCTCGCTCTGAGTCGCACTGGGGACGGGCTGGAATGGGCGGATGTCCACCTCGCTGCGCAAATTCAGTCGGTCCTCTACTCACTAAGAATACTCAGGCAGTTGTTTCAGCTCGCTGAGACGGTTGATGATACTGTCGCCCAAGTGGACTCTATCCTTTTGGGTCTCCCACCCTTACATATAATGATGAAGTCCACACGCCAAATGACGGAGGGTCTTGTTTCCCAGTCCTCAATGAGTGAGTTTCTAGGCCTCTTCTTTGGGGAGGAAAGGTCTGAAGCCAGTGATGAACATTCACAATCAGCGAACCCGTCACGTTCTCGAAGCAGTCTCCCACAGGACCGGTCAAACATCACTGTCAACAGGGGCCCGCCTAATTTATATGAATTACTTGCCTCGGACTAATACCAATCCAGCATTATGTACTGTATATCATTTCTATGTGTAAGGTCCTTGGGTGAAAATGTATATAGACACAGATGAGAAATGCATTATCCAACCTGGCGCGTCACTTTTATCACTCCTAACGAGAAGACCTGAGGAATCCGACCACTCCACGACAATAACCCACCATCCCTGCCAAACGCTCTCCTTCCCGTTTCTGGGCCTCACTCCAAGCAACAAGGGCTTCTCTTAACACTTTGCTGTCATCAGAGTCGGACTGAGCGCATTGTGCGATAGTGTCAGCATGTACATTGAGAAGCACTGCCATCCAAGCATTGACAAGCTCGAAATCCTTCTTCAAGAAGAGGCGGCTGGAAAGTGCACGAATAAAAGCCGACATTTCAGAACGGCCCCCTCGTGCTTTGGGATTGAGAGATCTGATTTCAAGATCGGCTTTAGCTGGAGACAGTGACTTGAGATGTTCGACAAAAGGCGTGAAGTCACCCGACATATCACCAGCGTCTAGAAGCTGGGCAAATCGAGACGATGCAACGTCGCCGTTGGCATCACGCTGCAACTTGGCAACTCGAGAGCGCTCAGCGGCTGTCGCATCAGCTAGAGCACCCAGATCGATATCATCAGAAACTTTGGCCCCAGTGGCAGCAGGAAGAAAGAAAGGAGCCTTTTCAGGAGCCTTGGGAGCATCTTTTGGCTTGTTGCGTTCCTAAAACGGGGTTATTCGTTAGTATCGAGATGGGTATGGATAGGCATGTGAGGGAACCAACCTTGATCAGATCCAAATGAAGTAATGTCTGCCACTTGCTTTTGGGAACAACACTGAGTGTTACCATGTCCCGGCTCAGTTGTTCCGTTGTCAGAACAGGTCCCTCCGCCTCGTGTTGATCCTGATTCTCTGTAAAAGCAGCCTCAATGGCTCCTACAGCCCCTTCCCCAGATATAGTAGGGGCTGCGGCCTCTGAAACCTCGCTTTCTTCAAGATTCCGGGTTGACACGGGGGTGAACAAACTCCGGTTAGACCAGAGACTGATTCCCAAGCCGTCCGCATGAGCAGTAGCTAGGAACTCACCCGTAGAAGACATGGCCAACGCGGTACATGTACTGGGGATGCGGAAAAGGTCAATAAGATGCCCCGTCGGCAGATCCCATACTCGAATTATAGAATCCATCGAAGCGGCAATGATCCATCGCCCATCAGAAGAGAAAGCGAAGTCATTGACTTGACCGACACAGCCCCAGAATTCACGCACGACCTTTCTTGTCTCAATGTCAACCACGCGGATTGAAAGGTCGTCGCAACTGAAGGCCACCAGTTCGCTCGTACTGTTATACCGAAGTCCAGTAACAGATGTCATCGGCCACCAGTCAAGCTCATCAACCAGGCGTCCAGAGACAAAATCCCAAAACTGTTATAAGAACATGTAAGGTTAGCTGAGCTCGACAAGGTTACAGATCGTCTTCTTTTACCTTAACCTTTCCATCCAAGCCACAACTTATGACAGTCTGGTTCAGACTGTCGACCATCAGCCCAGTGACTGCTTTCGTATGTCCAGGATTCTCATCCTTCAGCAAGGCGGATGGGACGGAGCCTTTCTTTTTGTGGCTTTTGCCTGGGAAGCTCTGGCGATGAGCCCCAGACTGCAAGTTGAACATGTCGATGCTACCACCCGCAGAGCCAATTAGGGCGAACGTTCCGCATTGTGATATAGCGACGGTCTAATATATAATATCTTGTTTAGTAAAAGACAATTTCCAGAGTAGATGATCTTACCTTCACTTCAGTTTTGTCGCCAGTTTCGAATGCCCAACGTCCGGCTTTCTTTTTTCCCCAGAACCAAGTCCTGGCATACTTATCGCCACGATGGCCAGTTACAATACTCTCCCAGCCCGTCTTATTAGAAGCATCTGCGTTGGTTGCTTTTGGGTTCGTCCACACAGAACCCGAGGTTGCAACACCCATGCCCCCGTCCCGGTTCAGCGAACAAGCAATGCAGGTGATTGCGGGAGCTTTGAGACCCTGCATCGTCTTCATATCGCCGGATCCAACCAGCTTTTTTGCTTTATGTTCCACGGATCCTTGGGAGAGCTCTGTGTTTTGACTGTCCTTTCGCACACTAAAACCCCAGAGACTGGAGTCTTTGCTAGCGCTAAGCAGCCACTTGCCACCGAATTCCGAACCATCAGATGCCGAAGGTAGGAACCCAAGTGTAGTTACAGCGTCCGCGTGACCACGTCTTGAATGAAGTGGTCGCGGAATGGGTGAAAACGGAACCTCGTCGAAGATCCATGTTCTCAGAGCATTATCCGAACCTGATGAGACCAGAACGGGTTGGCCGTCTAAGAATTCGACATGGTTCACACCTGACCCAGTTGCATCTCCAATCGCCCGATGGGCGCCGCGAAGGATGCCCACCACCTTTCCCCCGTTGTTCAAATCCCACATAGTGACATCACCGCTGTTCCGGCACGCCGTAGCCATGACGCCTGGGGTTCGTCCATCTTCGCCAGCGCCCAGGTCGTCGGTTCTGAAAGTCACTGAAGTGACAGGCTCAGACTGGGACGATCCCGGTCGCAACGACAAAACGACTTCGCCGGTCTCGATGTTGCGAATGGACAGCGAACCACTCTTGTCGGCAATTGTGATGAGAGATAAAACAGGACATGGCTGAATCGCAGTCACCGCACCAGCTCCTGGCAGCATCGGCGGGATCGTACAGATCATCTTGCCGGTCTTCACATTCCATATGTCAACGTTGCCATCATACCGCCCCACAAAAATCTTGTTGAGATACGTCGGCATGTTGCATATCTGCCCCGTGTAAATCTGCTCGACCGTCGCGTCGCCGCCTCGGGGGGGAATTAGAGTCGTGTAGTGCTCGTAAGATGCATTTTTCCACACTTGGATGCGATTCCTGGTACATCCCACAACCCAGGAGCCAAACACAAGGATCCGATCAATGGGCTCATCGACGACCTCGGGGGTTTCCAGAGACGCGATTTTCTTACCGCGCTTGAAAACCCAGACGCCGCCAGAAGAACCGGGTCGCACGTTACCCCATGCCGCAAAGACTTTATCCTGCCACGCGAAAGTAGCGGTTATTATCTCCGGAGTCTCGGGCCTGGAGATGAACACCAGGTTCAGACCACGTCTCAAATCATATGTCTGTAGAGAGCGGCCCACGGAGGTTGTGATTTGGAAGGTAGCTTTACCCAAACGAACCGTCGTGAAGGGTACGGAGGTTGGTGACACCAGTCCCAAAGTCTAGTCAGCAAGTCAGTACTATACTTCAGGCAGTAGAGGGCCCGTATATACGGGAGCAATGCATTGGATTCCCAAAACGCATCTATTCACTTACCCGGAACGGAGAAAAAATTCTAGATCCCGATAGCTTCTGTTGTTGTTGAAGGCCTTGAATCCCTATCGTTTTCTGCCTCTTTGCAAGAGGCATATCGAAGCCATCGTCATTGAGTGATGGCATGGTCTCGACTATTGCAGGTAACCAGCTTGGAGTATCAGTGCACTGGTCTCTGCAGCGCAAAGAGATATTTTCGATGATGGGCTGCGGTGAATCTTTTCTGCCGACCTTCGAAGAACCTTCGATTCACCGCCTACCACCTGCGAGGGCATCCGAAAATTACATACTTCCAGTTTTGAAAATTACTCATTTGGCTTGCAACATCCCTTTCTCAGCAGAATTCTATCCACCATAGGTTCCTTGAAATGGGCTATGATGGACTGAATGGATAATTGTTTTATAGGTAACTAGGAAGACATATATCTACACTAAATATCCTAGATAGTCTATGAATAAGGTCTGGGAGGTACCCTGGTAGGTACCCAGGTACAGAGGTCGGTACTAGAATTGGTATCCATCACTTATCCAAGTAATCTTCTTCTCAATGTTATTGCTTTTTGTGGGATATACCTATCTATATGTCATGCATAAGTCCATTTGGACCGGTTGGCGAATTCATTATCAGGGACCCCTTCCCCTCCAAAGCTCATTCCCAAACCTCAGGCATGCAGATCCGCGGCAGGTGCTCCATCGCAACCGGGGTGGAACCGTTGTGGCAATTCACTACCTTCTTTCGGAAGTGACTTTTTTTTTTTACTGGAACTGCCAGTGGTAGCGTTAATAATGGAGAAACAACCATTTTCTCCAGCGAGTTCCAGACATGGTGACCGCTCCATCCCCCTGATACCCACTGATAACTGGTTGGAGATGCCCATGATTGTCACGATAACCCGCCCGACAAAGGACTGAAGACATCATACAGCGTCCAACCCTCTCCCCCACCAACACGCTGAGACACACAGATCAGGTTTTTCTTCAACTCTGGCCTCCTTGGCTCTGCAATATACGCCCTCTACGTGATTCTCAAAAGCTCCGACAAGCTTAGACAACGACAATTGCTCCCTCCGACCGAGTCTGCTCATAGGCAGATCCCCCAGTTTCGACATCGACTTGTTCAATTCGAAATCTTTCTGATTCTGCCGATATTACATATTTGGGCTACCCACGGTGGATTCTGCGCGACTCAGGACCACATTGCTGGTTCTGCATCCCCAATGGACCTCAGTGATGGGAGCAGCAATGGCTTGTCCGGTCATCGCTCCCGCACAGGCAGTGTCGAAAGTGTGAGGAAACCCGCTGGGTCGTCTCTAAGCCCAAGTCTCGAACAGGCCGAGAGATCTTCATCAAACCTGCTGTACGACTCTGCGGCCTCTACTTCCTCGAGGAGTCATCGTGCGCAGGCCAGCCAACCCAGGTCGTTGAAATCCGAAGTCCCAACAGACAACCAGAGTGCGGTTCGCGCCACTCATTCTTCAACTCGCTCGTCCAGTCGAGCTCACAGGAGGCTAAGCGGGAGCACAGCTGCAAGCTCCATCAGTGAGTCAGAAGCGGCACATCCAACCCTGGGGAGGATCGGGGTGTGCGCCTTGGATGTGAAAGCCCGGAGCAAACCCAGTCAAAATATTCTGACCCGTCTTCAGTCTAAGGGTGCTTTTGAAGTCATTGTGTTTGGTGATAAAGTGATCCTTGACGAGGATGTAGAGAACTGGCCCGTGTGCGATTTCCTAATCGCATTCTTTTCCGACGGTTTCCCATTGGACAAAGCCATCGCATATGCCAATCTTCGAAAGCCTTTCTGCGTCAATGATTTACCAATGCAAAAGGTTTTGTGGGACAGACGCCTTTGCTTGAGAATATTAGACCATATGAATGTTCCAACTCCCAAAAGAATGGAGGTCAATCGAGACGGTGGACCCCTACTGCAGACTCCAGAGCTCGCTCAACATGTGTACAGGCTGACTGGTGTCAAGCTTGAGGGCCCCGAAGATGGCACTGGAGGTGGTGCTGCTAAAACCAAGAGTGTCGCCTTGTCGGATGATGGCGACGCCCTAATCGTTGATGGGAAGATCTTAAGAAAACCATTCGTCGAGAAGCCGGTGAATGGGGAGGATCATAACATCCATATCTATTTCCCCAACGACCAGCAATATGGTGGCGGTGGCCGACGACTTTTCCGAAAGGTCGGAAACAAAAGTTCTGAGTATGACCCAGACCTAGTGGTTCCGCGGTCAGTCACGGAACAGAACTCGAGTTACATATATGAACAGTTCCTGCGGGTTGATAATTCCGAGGATGTCAAAGCTTACACTGTCGGTCCTGATTTCTGCCATGCAGAAACACGAAAATCACCGGTTGTCGACGGATTGGTTCGCAGAAATACCCATGGCAAAGAACTCAGATACATAACAAAACTCAGCAAGGAGGAGGCTGCCATTGCTTCTAAGATCTCGAACGGATTCGGCCAGAGAATCTGCGGTTTTGATATGCTTCGTGTCGGTGAACGGAGCTATGTTATTGATGTCAACGGCTGGAGCTTTGTTAAGGATAACAATGATTATTATGACCGTTGTGCGAGTATCCTGAGTGAGACCTTCCTCGCTGAGAAACGCCGACGCGAAGGCCTGCCAGAACCCACTGAAACCGGCTCTCCAGAAAGCGGCCATTCTTGGAAACATTCAGTGTCCCACAGGCATACCCTGAAAACCCTGCTCAAGTCACCCAGCACCTCAAAGCTGTATGGAAGTACGCAAGGCAACAAAAGTCCCGAAAACGGCGTGTCGGACTCTATGGTTCCTGGGCTATCGCCGTCAACTACCATTGAGGCAATGGAGAATGGGGGCAGTCTCAAGGGTCCGAGTTCAAGAGACAGATACTCCATATCTAGTGCCCATGCTCCCCAAGGTGTTAAAGCATATGCCGCTCCAACTGACACGCATGCTGAGAATCCGCCACCACCCCCACCTGCTTCCAAGCACTCATGGAAACTCAAGGGCATGGTAGCGGTCATCAGGCACGCAGACCGTACGCCCAAACAGAAATTCAAGTTTACCTTTCACAGTCAACCTTTCATCGACTTGTTGAAAGGACATCAAGAGGAAGTTGTTATCAAGGGAGAGACGGCCTTGTCGAGTGTTTCTGATGCTGTCAAGGTCGCGATGGAGCAAGGCCTCGAAGATATAGACAAGCTTAGGCTGCTTCGAACCTCTCTTGAAAAGAAGGGCGGTTGGCCTGGCACGAAGGTCCAAATCAAACCCATGTTCCGTAAAAGGAAGCCAGAAGAGTTGAAGGAGCGAGAGCCATCCAATACAGTGTCATCTTCTACGGACTGCACTCCCAAGGATGAACTATCGTCTCCTGGCCCTCAGGAGCCAGCACCTGAGAATGAACATCCATCCCGGTCACAGACTCGCAGCGACTCAATCTCAGGTGCTACTTTTTCGAGGTTCTCTGCCGCTGAGAATGATCTCATACTCGACAAACTCCAGCTGGTTATCAAGTGGGGAGGGGAACCAACGCATGCAGCACGCTATCAGTCGCAGGACTTAGGTCTCAATATGCGAGACGATCTCAAGTTGATGAACCGAGAAGCTCTGAGCAATGTCAGGATCTTTACGAGCTCAGAGCGGAGAGTGAGCACAAGCGGTAAGTTTCGGACGCGCATGTTGTGTTGAAATCCTGGCTAAACATCACCCACAGCTCAAATTTGGGCCTGCTCTTTTCTTGATCAAAAGGAGCTCCCAGATGACTTCATTCAAGTGAGAAAGGATCTTTTGGACGACTCAAACGCCGCAAAGGATCTGATGGACAAGGTCAAGAAGAAGCTAAAGCTTCTTCTGCGGGAAGGGTCTGCGCCATCGCAATTTACTTGGCCTAAGGACAATATTCCAGAGCCTTCTGTTGTGCTAGCTACTGTCGTCGAGCTCATGAAGTTCCATCGAGATGTCATGCGCCACAACTTCCGGAGGCTCGATCGATTCTCGGATAGTTCACCCGTGGCCAGCGACGCCAGCTCTCAACATAGCTCTACTCGCCAAGAGGGCCCGTCGCTAGAGTCTATCCAAGGACGTTGGTGCACCGGTGAAGACCCCATGCTATTCAAAGAAAGATGGGAAAAACTTTTCGCCGAATTTTGCGATACGGAGAAGGTGGATCCCAGTAAGCTCTCTGAGCTTTACGACAGTATGAAATTTGATGCCCTGCACAATCGACCATTTCTAGAGTGGGTGTTCATGCCACCGGACGACGAGGGTGACGATGAGGAGAATGATGCTTCTCTGAAGAATGCCAGTCGGAGCGACTCCGCAGCCGACGGCAAGGCCGAGAATGGAGCTGGAAACTATCCCAGACCTGAGGGGTGCACGGATAATCCAAGTCTTGCCCAACGGTTTGGGTTGAAAAGACGAACCCACGCGTTCGAGTCGATGCCGCATTTCAGGGCCCTGGATGATACGTACGATCATTATTTCAAACTTTACCCTGGTTCGAGCTCCACGAAGGCAAAGATAGATGGACGGCTCTCGAAACTGAGGGAATTGTACAAGCTGGCGAAGGTCTTGTTTGACTACGTCACTCCCCAGGAATATGGGATCACCGATACGGAAAAGCTGGAGATCGGGTTACTGACGTCCTTGCCCCTTCTCCAAGAGATTGTGAGGGATTTGGAGGAGGTCCAAGCCTCGCCCGATGCGAAATCTTTCTTTTACTTCACCAAGGAGTCCCACATTTACACCCTTCTGAACTGCATCCTCGAGGGTGGCATACAGACGAAGATTGCCAGAACAGCTATCCCCGAACTGGACTACCTATCTCAGATTTGTTTCGAGCTCTATGAGGCAAAAGACTGCGAATCGTCGACAAATTCATATTCGATTCGCATATCAATTAGCCCCGGCTGCCATGCGTTTGATCCACTCGATGTCCAGCTCGATTCTCGACATGCCATCGGCTGCGCCCCCAGACGTAGTCTGACCCCTCATCAGGATTGGAAGCAGGTCATCGAGACGCTCAAGGCCAAATTTGACACGTAAGTGGGCTATCCTGCGTGCGCTAGGCAATGGTAAGGCGAGAAAATGAATCATGCTAATGACGATGTTCTCCAGAGTTAAATTACCCAAGACCTTCATTGCGGTGAACCTGAGCGACAAGCACATGTCGAGCCCATAGACCTCCCTCCGGCGGCCATACGGCGATCTTGCTTGTGAGATCTCTCCTCCTCTTTAGGAAACTCCTTTCCTGCAGTCGACTATATTTTGTCGAGGCAGGTGTTAACATACTTTACGGTCGGTTTTTCCGAGTCTATTCTTGTCTTCTTGTCTATGACCTTCTTTCACCGGTCATTGTGTTATTCCAGTGCACCCTGCATGCGCAGGTAGCCATCTAGTTGAGCATTGTAAACCATCGGTCACTTTGCGATGGACGGTGCGGAGTGTTAGCAAGGGAGTTGGGTTTTGTTTCTTGCGAGCATTTAACATGATGAGGAAGTAGATGGGGGACGGGAATAGAACATGGTGTATACGTAGAGTCATTCTTACTCTGACAAAAGATTTATTTTAATTGTCTCGACGGCCCCACTAGGTACTCTAGGCCAATTTCGTATCACGCTATCGCGGGGAAATCATAAACCACCATCCCTGTGTCAGCCTGGTACAAGGTATGTACCTAGGTACCTTGTGTTGGTGAGCGGTCACGGGTTTAGGCAGATAAGACCAACCTCACTACCATAACCATCGCTTGTCCATCCGTCTGTATCCTCACGATCTTCACGGGCTTTGAAAGCGAGTGTTGAAGCAATGACGCACCAATTGAGCACCAGTCACGATGTATTCGACTGTTACGAGGCAGAGAACGACCACATTCGATGCTACAACCGCGACAAGGGAGATGATATTCTCATTCCATGTGGTGATATAGTATGCCTTCTGCCGAGCAATGGTGATCCAGGGCATGGGAATCACATCCTCTTATTTCTCCAGAAGAAATCCAACCACAACAATGATGGCGTCGAGTCCTCCACGTATCTCCACAGTATCCAGACAACATCTGTTGCAACGGAATTACTGTCCCGATATTTATTCGAAGGGCTGCCTGGACATTTTAATTCTTCACAACGCCCTGATTTGAATGTACACATTGTCATATCGACTCTTTCTGGTACAGGGCTGGCTGAATCCTACTATGACAATATTCTTCAGCCTTTGTTCTCATACACCGGGCTGGTGGACTACAAAGTCCACAAAACCCGCTCAGAAACCTCCATCGTTGACCTTTGCCAGTCAACATTCATTCCGTGCGCCGAAGCAGGGCGACCGCAAACCATTATCTTTCTTTCGGGGGATGGTGGCATCGTCGATACCATCGACACCTTTTACAAGGCAACAAACAAGTCCTTGACACTCCCTACAATTGCCCTGATTCCAATGGGGACGGGAAATGCCATGGCAAGCTCGATGGGCTTACTTGCATACCCAGCAGCCGGGCTGATAACCCTGCTGCGAGGGGCATTAAAGCCATTGCCTGCCTTTGCCGCTATGTTCTCCACCGGTGCGCGGTATGTCACGGATGAAGGTCGTACCCGTGTGCCTATTACCATGCCGAGTTCTCAACCGCCAACGGTCTACGGAGGTGTCGTCGCAAGCTGGGGTATGCACGCTTCATTGGTTGCGGACAGCGATACTGTCGAGTACCGCAAGTATGGCGCGCAAAGGTTTAAGATGGCCGCCAACGAATTGCTCCACCCCTCAGATGGCACGGAAACCCACAGATATGCCGGGACAATCACCCTCTCTCGGAAAAATAGCCAGACAGGAGAGGAATACACTACGACTCTGGACAGCAAGGACCACATGTATGTTCTGGCCACCTTGGTTCCAAGACTCGAGAAAGACTTCTTAATCTCTCCCGAGAGTCGTCCCCTAGATGGCTGCCTGCGATTGGTTCATTTCGGCCCAACATCACCCGAAAATGCTATGAAGATGATGGGCCTTGCTTACCAAGGGGGCCGACATGTGCACGAGGAGGGCGTCTCTTATATCGATATTGAGAGACTTAGAATCGATTTCCACGAACCTGACGAGAGGTGGAGGCGGGTCTGTATTGATGGGAAGATCGTCGCTGTCGAGAGGGACGGTTGCGTAGAGGTATGTCGAGAGCACAGGTCTCTACTGAAGATATTGGCGCCCGTGGATCTTGAACTCGCAGCTTGAATTCTCTCTAGTGTTCTTTCATACAAATATAACTAGATCGTTGAACTTGTGTCTCTAGTGCATATGTAATCCTCTAATTCACGTGCAAGTCAGTTAGTTAGTTAAAGAGGTTGCAGATGCCGAGTTATGTAAGACGTGCTTATCAGGGCGGAAATCCTCCCGTCCGCCGCCCGATATCAGACATCCCCTTATCCACCCCGGCCAAATTGTTGTCTTCTCTATTTTCGCTACTGGGCAGTTTGGGCGGCAAGAAAATGAGCTGACCCTTCTAATGGGACACTACCGAAACGTCAAATTGTCTAACTTATGATGGGAGCGCGTATGCTTCGAATAGATGCTCATCACCCCTCGAACATATTCAGCGTCGCAGACCGCAGACCAAGGGCATCCTTCTCCAGGAAGTGAGAGCGAGTGGAGATTTTATTCACTGGCCGGGTGGCGTATCTACTCTGCCAATGCCAACCAGCCTGTTGATATGCCATTGATTCACCAGGCTGGTAGTGTCCGCGTGGGCGAGGTAGTCCGGTCGGTCTCCTTTTCCCGTTATACGATTTGCGAGTCACCACGGTGCCGCTAACATTCTGGAACAGGTACACCTTCTCCTATAACCCGGCGGCTGATACGGAACATCCTCCACCTTCAGAGCTGCATGTCAAGATCAAGAATACGTCGGCGATCCCGTTGCGAGCTGCATATCTCCACGGCCCATATACCCTTTATGCTTCCTGCTATCCGTCCACATTCGATCCAAATGTTGGAAGTCCTGATGACGATACGAGCGGGACACCACAGTTTGAGCCGTATCTCAAAGCAGGTGGAAGCTGGCGCGCAACCATTCCGGTCCCGAAGAGACGCGGGCACACGGGAGATGTATACGAACCTGTTACATGGCGTATCGAGATCATATCGCAAGTGATCTTTTCAAGCACCGCCTCTGTCAATTTTGAACTCCTGATCGGTCGCGATCAAAAGTCAGTGGAGACCGGTGGCTTCTCGAATTCGGACTCTTCCCGAGCTGCTCGGTTACGGGATCACTGGTTGTCAACGCCCGTTGGGGAACAAGTACTTGCGACTAAGGGGGTATATTCCAAGGCTGTCAAGTTACTGGTGGATGATACTGCTAGCCTCTGGAATACGCCTCGGCTTCCAGCATGCGAAGAGGAACGGGGCACGCCTGGCTCCCCTTCAAACGTTCCAGAGCAGTCAGATACGGCTGACACATCCACGCATCCGCCACGCAGCAAGCCCAAGAAAAAAGTCCATTTAGTGGTTTTAACCCACGGGCTCCATAGCAATCTCGGAGCAGATATGCTTTATCTCAAAGAGAGCATAGATGCATCGGTTCAGAAGGGTAAGCAGCGCAAAAAGGAGATGCGCCGCAAGCGTACGCAAGATGGCCATGATGACCCCACCGCACATAGGTAAGTCAACCCTATTAGGCGTTAATATCACTCAGAAACAATATTTCTAACCTAGTATGCAGGACGGAAAGCGGTGATGGGGCGTCTCTGTCACACGATACTGATGACGACGACGAGCAAGTCATAGTCAGAGGCTTTTCTGGCAACGCTGTCCGTACCGAACGTGGGATTCAATATCTCGGCAAGCGTCTTGCCAAGTACATACTGTTCATGACATACCCAGACCAGCCATATCTCCCTCGCAAGAACTCGAAATCGAAGCCTTGGTCTCAGCACCCTGCTCCATCGGGAAATCCAACCAAAGAACAGCCTTTTGGAGAACGTTTGATCTCTGACACCCATGGTGGTCTAAAGACCTCTAATGAGCATCCTTACCAGATTACGAGTATTAGCTTCATCGGCCATTCTCTCGGTGGACTTATTCAAACATATGCTATTGCGTATATCCAAAAGCACTCACCCGAATTCTTCAACACAATCAGGCCCGTCAATTTCATTGCTCTAGCGACACCATTTCTTGGGCTAAGCAACGAAAACCCAATGTACGTGAAATTCGCTCTGGACCTAGGCCTTGTCGGTCGAACTGGCCAGGATCTGGGACTCAGTTGGACAGCGCCCAGAGTGAGAAGCGGCTGGGAAGCCATAATTGGAGGCAAGGGTGATCCTGTAAAATCTCAAAATTATGCAGACGCCGGATCCAAGCCTTTACTCAGGATCTTGCCTTGCGGGCCTGCTCATGAAGTTCTTGCCAAATTTCAAAATCGGACTATCTATTCCAACGTCGTCAATGATGGAATAGTACCTCTGCGGACATCATGCTTACTATTCCTCGACTGGAAAGGGCTCGATCGAGTGGAAAAGGCAAGGAGAGACAACGGAATTGTGGGCACGATGGCCGAATGGGGCTGGGCTGAGCTGACCGGCGCAAATTCCAAATCCCCAAGATCGGCCCGGCCGCCTGCCGAGAGCAGGGTGAATGCTGAAGGAGGCAGCTCGACAACGGAGGGCATATCAGTGACCGCAATGCCCTCGCAGCATAACGCAACGCAGGCAAATACCCAAACCCTTCCGTCTGAAGAACAGGCGTCTCTACAGCTCCAGAAACAAGCCCCATCAGACGACAGCATGGAGGTCAAATCCAGAGACGAGTCTATAGATCCGACGTCGTACAGTCCACTGAACAGTTTCTTTTCGATCTTCAAGTCAAAGCCAGCAACGAAAAACGGTGGACATAAACAGACCAAGATTCTCAAACGCAGCCAGACCCTTGGTCCCCCGGGCAATCCGACAGACGCAGGGCTTCCCTCTCCGTCCTCTACCGAGGAGTCGTTGGCCCGTGATCACCTGTACGATGAATATGGGCTTCACGCTCCTCCAAAGACCACGTTCTTTGAATCTGCCAGCGATCTTCTGTTGCCACCACTTCCCCCCACGGAATTTATTACGGATCCGGGCTCAAGACCTCGGACGATATTCCATGATCGGGTTTACCATCCTGATGATGTGCCAATGCCGTTACCTCCGAAACGGCGAACCATCAATTTTGGCCAAACGCCGACGAAGCCGTCAGATGTGCCGCCGGCTTCACCAGATAGAGAGTCGACTCACTCCCATCTAAGCGGTCATGAGAATGAGAGCGGGTTGAAGATCGAGGAGAAGATAGCGAGAGCGTACCATCGCGATTTGTCCTGGCGCAAAGTCCTTGTTCGATTGGAGCCCGACGCACATAACAACATTATAGTCAGGCGAATGTTCACGAACGCCTACGGGTGGCCCGTGGTACAGCATCTTGTCGACACACACTTTGGACCTGATGCGGTCCACGATGATCTCCCCGGGAACACTACGGAAGGGTTCAAGTCACTCGTTATCAATACGGGTGACAATGTTGAACACGAGCACGAGCATTCAGGTAGTCCTTGAGCAATTTAGAACAAGGCGGATTGGTATATAATGTCAGGGAAATACCGTGAAGTCTCCACTAGTCCAAGCTGGACTTCAAGAGCCTGCTTCGAGTTTGGTTATTGCTCGACTTGTCCTCAACGGTGGATCTACGATGCCTATGAGGCTGGCCTTTCAGATGTATATGTACATATAAGACATTCATGTTCAATAATTTTAGACTAGTCTATAATTCCTTGACCAGACCCCCTTTAATATTCCAACCGTCCTTGAACATATCCCCAGAATTCTTCGATGATTTCCTTCTGGCCGGCATTGCCTGGGGATGCTCTAACTGCAAGATACACCCTTCCATCCACGGCGGGCTCCCAACCTCCTGGGTTACCATCGACGATGACACCACCAGCCTCGGTCAGGATCACCCAGCCAGCACACACATCCCAGGCCCAGCAGCCTCCCTCCCAGTACAGGTCAAGGGTACCTTCCGCAACGCCGCAAAGGTTGAGCGCCGCAGAGCCGAGGCTGCGCATCGAACGGACCATGGCCCCGCCGCTCTCTTTATCCTGGCCGAGTTTCTCGAACGTCCGCACCTTTGTTTCCCAGTTCCGGCCCTTCCTATCCGAGCCCCATTCGATACTGACCAGGGCATTCTGTAGCCCGCTCAACGGCTCGATATCGCTGCCTTTCAGTGGGAGGCGTTGTGTGCGGTTCCGAAAGGCGCCTTGGCCACGGATGGCGGAATACAGTGTGCCGCTGGAGGGGTTGAACACGACACCCACGACTGGGGTGCGTTTGATGGCGAAACCGAGAGAGATGCAGGCGTGGGGAAATGCGTGCACGAAATTGACGGTGCCGTCGATCGGATCAATGATGAAGGTTGGGTCGTCGGTCAGCGGGCGAGATGGGTCGTAGCTCTCTTCTCCGTGGAACCTGTGCGCATGGTGAGTATATTGCATACGGACTGCGCGAGGCGAAGAAGGGGGTCCGTCGGACGTACTGATACGTTGGATATTTCTCTTTCAATGCGCTCGAGACCATTTCTTCAACAGCCCGGTCATACTCGGTGACGAGGTCCGCGCCTAAATTACAAGTATCAGTAACAGTGCTCGTGTTTACTGAGAAGATCACTTACTGTTCTTCTTGGACCCTGTCGCTCCGGTGGTGGGGAGGGCGCCGTTGATGATGTCTCCGGCCTTGTACGCGATTTCAATCAGAGTGTCGTGGATCTCGTTCAGATTGGGCGAGTAGCCGCCCTGGTTCAGCAATCCTGTCGCCATATCTGAAGGTGCCAATCTTGCTTCGTTGCGTGGGAATGTAAGTTGCTGAACGGAAAACTGAGCATACTCCGTACCGTTGACCCCGCGCCGGTGACGTTGGAGAACAACGGAACCCCACCTTACATAAAAAAAAAGATTGTCGGAAAAAAAGTGTCCCAGCACCAACATTCGGAATACCCTCATCATATCGAGCTCCTCCTCCAGACAGGCGATTTTACGCTCATACGCTCCTTTACAAACCCTTTGGCTCGGTTCACGCTCGCTATCGCACCGCAACCATGCCCACCGAACTGGAAGAGGTGAGACAACCGTCTATCGTGCGCAAGTCGCATGGATACTGACCAGTCTGTGTGCTCTATAGCTGGTCGAGTTCCTCCACCATGGAAACACCCAGATCAGACAAATCGGTAACATCGCTCTCAGCGCGCTTCAAAGTCCCAGTCGCCTGACATATCCCAGCATGCGAAAACCTGGTCGGATTCTCAACGGCCCAGCCCGAACTCTTCAAGCGACATCAACTATTGCCCGTGCGAGACTTGAAGCTATTGGCACGAGACTACACAGTCAGTACCAGGACCTCACCGGACTCAAGCGCGCCATCCAGTCGCTGACGAACTTGCCATTGCGGTGGTTTTGTGTAGCCAATTGCGAAGAATGCCCTCACAATGCTCATCAATCTGTCGGCCGATGAGGAGGTGCTGGCGAATCTCGCGGAGGATGACGCTTTCGTTGAAACCCTTCTCATAAAACTGACGGTACGTGTCAGAGGAGCAAGTATGATATCGGTACGAAGGCTGACTGATGTGTCGCCATGATAGAACGTCAAGGAACCCAATGCAGACGATGTCGCGATGCTGCTGGCCAACATGGTCAAGTCGGACAACATGACCCGGATCCTGAACTTGAAACGGAGAATCCCCGAGGCCGTGTCGACCTCCGCGAACGCCATTGACCAACTGATGGACTGTTTCGTGAAAGGCGCCGAAGGCGGCCTCAACAAACACGCCAACTACGACTATCTCTCCTACATTTTCGCCGACATCTCCAAGTCTGAAGAAGGCCGGGCGTACTTCACGACGAGGCAGGAGTACGACGGGGTCGTCCCGGTGACGAAGCTCACTGTCTTCACCGAGCACAAGAGCGATATCCGTCGGAGGGGCGTTGCGTCAACTATCAAGAACGTCGCGTTTGATGTCCCGTTCCATCCTACTCTCTTCTCCGAGGACGATGCAAACCTTCTCCCGTATATATTGCTTCCCATCATGGGCCCGGAGGAGTTTGATGTGGAGGAGACCATGGATATGCTGCCCGATCTCCAAATGCTGCCTCCGGACAAGAAGAGAGATAGCGATCACAACATCATTGTAACACATCTTGAAACGTTGCTCTTGCTGACGACGACACGGGAAGGTCGCGACAAAATGAGAGCCGTGAAAGTCTACCCGATCGTTCGAGAATGCCATCTCCATGTGGATAGTGAAGAGGTTCGCGAAGCGTGCGATCGGCTGGTTCAAGTCTTGATGCGTGACGAGGAGGGCGAGGGAAAGCCCATGCCTCAGCTGGAAGGTGTCCCCAGTGAACAGCAAGCGCAAGATGATGACCAGAAGGTTGTGGAGCTGTTCTAGGGGGTTTGTCTTGTTGTTTAGACTTTGGATATGCAACGGAAGACGTCTCCGTGCTTATACATACGAAACATTGCTCAATCTAGCCATAATAGAAGGAAAGACTACTGTCCATGTAAATGTGTTCCTTTGGTTAATTAGCTAAGGTTCGCCATGTGTATAAATGGCTTTATCCTTTAGTGATACATGGGCTTGAAGAGAAACGATCGATCACACGATCAAATCCAACAACTTTTTGGGTTAAAAAAGAAAGAGAAGCAGAAGAAGAGTGAAAGTGACTGGAGGAACCAAATTATCTAGGCCGTCCTAAGAAGTGAGCTTGGGTTCAATTGCTGAAACATGAATCAGGCATGGACGAAAGGAAGCACAGTCCTCAAAAATTGTAGCGTTTTCTCCTCGTTGCGTGACTTAGCCTTAGAAGCCCTCATGGATCAGTAGACAAATGTAATTGTCCCAGGCCTTGCGACAAGCCACAATCTTGGTCTATCTCTGAGCCTCCAACCGGGGTGTCGGTGGTAGGCTCAGGTGCAAGTTCTGTTGCTTTGCCATCGTCATCACGATTCTCAGGGAGTCGCTGCACATTGGGGCTTCTCTCCTGGGCCTCAGCAAGAAAGTCCTCTCCTATACTTCCACCATCATTGCGCCACTCCCAACCAGCTCCGGGAATCTCCTGGATCCGATTGATGATCCTTTGCGCACGTTGAAACTCGGCTCTTATCTTTTTGACGCCGTTTAGAGTCACGGTCCTCCCAACGTTATGATGATGCTCAAAAGGATCCTCAACTCCCAAGAGAAACCTCAGTCGATGTCCGCTTTCATCGGTTTGGGCCGCTGTCCATCCCTTTTCGTCCTTGGACAGAAGCCCTCCGAGCGTGCGGATTGAGATGACATCGCGGACCCAGTCGAAGCCGCCTCGGGGCGCGTATGTACCGCGGCTCCCGTAGTATGCAAAGAAACCGCGCAGTAACTCTCCAATGGATTGCTGGTTGACGTATCTGGGATCAATCCAAGCCTTCCCTTTCAGCTTTGCCTCGTTACTGAAGAAACCCAGACCATGTTGGTTGATAGACGTGGTGTCCCTGCGCTCTGACGAATGATACATCAGCTGGAGGTTAGGAACTAAGGGCGGGTATACAATGTTCATGAGATAATGTATGACCATCAAGATATAGCCGTATGAGCACAGAGTTCCATGGTAAGGGGTATTGATCTTGCGAGCCTTGGCCCACATCTTAACGAAAATGCCCACCGCACGCACTCTTTCGTCACAGAGTGCGTAGCTGCGGAGCAATTCAGTATTATACAGCGCCAGATGCCCGGAGAAGTTGATGTCGCATTGCATGGCTCCAGGAATTGCAAGGTCGTGGTCTGAAGCGAACTGAGCGGGGGAATGTGGACCTGAGTATGGGTCTTGATCGACTGCTGAGTTCGCACATCCCAGACTTGGGTCTTCTTTTTGGATCTTGCTTTTTAGCGAGTGCAGGAGTTGTGTGGTGACCCCACATATCTTGATGATTGGAACCCTCGCTTTGGTTATCAGACTTGAGTGGAACCCTGCAAGCTCGAATGCGTCTTGCAATATGCGCGGGCATTCCGCCTCTAGTTTCGCAATAGTCGGATCCATATGCATGCTGAACAGGAGGTCAAGATCTGCTCCGGGGAGTGAGAACCCATTGCGCGAGCTACCAAAGCACTGAAGACTAACAGCTTCGTCGGGAATTTCAAGGCCGTGATCCCTCGCGTGCTGTTTGACGGCTTCCCGCGAAATCCTTGCCAATAGAGCTTGCAGTGTCTTCTTGTCCTTCGACCTGTCATCAAGAGGCCCATGTAGTGGAATTCGCGCAGCCAAACAATCCATGTAGTTTGTCTGGATTTGTTTCCGTCGAGCAGGATTAGACTGCTGGTTTCCAAACCGCGTCTTGGGGGCATGTGTGTATGAGTACCCTGGACCCGCTGGGCCTCGTAGGTTCCTGTGTGGTTCTATTTGCAGTGATGGGTGAGCTGCGCGCGCCATGGGCTCTGTGACTGGGACATGCATGTTGTGGTGTGCGTGAGACGACCCTGTCGCAGAGTTCGCTTTCCCAGTTGGGCCTGACTGATAGGATACTCTTGGGGCCTCTAAAAGACCATTGACTCTGCGATTATGACTTTCAGTCATTATTCGGTGCTGGGTGAGTAATACAGACGTCGTAGAGTCCAGGCTACCAGGTGTGAGGGATGGTAGACCAGGTTCTGTTTGCTCGTTGGCCATGGGAACAGGCGCATGGCTCCATGTCTTGGATGGACCGGAATAGCCTGGTTGGTACCCCATAATGGCTATCTCGGGGAAGCTGATCAGGATATGTTGGAAGAACTGAGCCAGCGCTAGTGAGGGAGGCTATATTGGAGGGAAACTTGCTCTCACTTCTGTGAAAGGGTTGAAGAAAGATGGAACCCTGGATGTGGGAAATTATATATCTAGGCATATTTCTTCTCACTCGAAACAGGAAAGCAGGAGGGGACAAAAAACACCACCAAACATCCGAAAAAGCAATACACAAGCCACAATGCACCTAGTAAACCTTCCAACATTAATATCAGCTAGATAATGCATTGACATTCTGTTGTCGACCTCAATTGTAGCGAACGTCGTGAGTGGTGAAGAGGATGCTGAGTCAGCAATGCCACCCGACGAGCCCTCAACTTGTTACATCAGATGTTCAACCCCAAATAAAGCAACACCAACTCTTTCTTCCTCTCATCTCACTCTCTCTGTCTCCGAACCTACCATCGTACCATCACCATCATCCCAATACAAACTTCTGCTTGATGAAATTGGCTCCTTTCCACCCCTAACCCCCACTGCCGGTCGCAACTCTCACGGGGTTGAACGGAGAAGACCATGACCACTCCTTCGAACGATCCGGCCTCGCGCACCCCTACGGCTCCAAATGGAGCTCCTCCCATGAGAATTCGCCGCCCTCGAGCAGCGGACCCCCTTGTCCGTCCGAAACGAAAGCCCGTCGCGAGACCGCCGGGTTCTACGGCGCCTGGAACCGCCTCGGTCGCCAAACCCGCCCCGTCGCGCCCGGTGGCGCCTCCAACATCTCGACCCGAACGAGGTATCTTGCCCCCATCCGAGAACAAATTTGGCGCGAACGGGTTCAGTGGTCCCTTGCTATCGGAAACGTACGTGGACTATCCGCTGGTGACTACGAAACGAGCTCTGCGCGAAGGCCTCAAACATCACATCGCACGATTCGCGTCAAAGAAGAATGTCGACCCTCGCGATGAATCCCAGTTTACTAGACCCGTCCGGCTACAACGTCGTGATCCCCGCGCGCGACCCCACGAGATGAATGCCGAGAGGGGCCAGGGCAAATCATCCTTTGAATCCAACCACCAGCTGGACGAAGCCGAGCGCGAGGAGTTGGAGGCAAGAAAGGCAGCGCGGGAGAAAGAGCGTGAAGAGAACCTAGCTCAAATAGCTCCCGCCATGGGACAGACTCAGAAACGATCCAACGCGCCCAAACAGAAAACCCAGCAAGTCTCCAAGACCGAAATGACGCCGGAAGAGATCGCCAGGACCCGCATCAAATACGAAGAAGCCTTGCCATGGCACTTGGAAGATTTCGACAACAAGAATATCTGGGTTGGGAACTACGAAGCGGCTTTGTCAGAGACACACGCAGTCTTTGTCCTCGAGAACACAGGGAAGATGAGGATGATTCCGGTCGAGAAGTGGTATAGGTTCAACGCCAAGAACCAGTTCAAAGCGCTCACCATCGAAGAGGCCGAGAAGTTCATGGCGAAAAGAGTCAAGGATCCTAGGTGGTTCATGGAAAAGCAGCAAGAAATGGCCCAGCGGAAAGAATTGGAGCAGTTCGCCAAGCAGCGGAAGGTGTACGCTGGGAAGCAGGGCACCCCCGCGGCCGACGGGCTGGAAGCTGATGAAATGGACTTTGAGGAAGATAGGTTTGCTGACGATGAAGAACATGACGATCTGTTCAACGACGACGAAGAAACCAAGGCCGCCGAGAAGAGAATCAAGCAAGACCAGCTGAAGGCCAATGTCTTTGATTTGAAAGACGAAAAGGAGTACGAGGAGGAAGAGTTAAGAGAGAAGAAGGAAAAGGAGGCCCGCCGAGTACTTGGAAAAAGTGTACGGAAAGCGCTGAAAAGGAGAGAGAAGAACTACGACTACAGTAGCGGCTCCGATGCTAACCCTTACACGGACGAAGAGGTATTTTGCGCTGGCCAATTCTCAGTCAACATTGCTAATCTTCATCTAGAGCACCGACGAGAGCGAAGCTGAGAGGCTTCGCGAGGAGGAAAGAAAGGCCGAAGAAGAGAAGAAACAAAAGGAGTCGGCATCTTCTTCGAAGGGCAACATCACGCCTTCCGGCCGGGCAAAGCATACCGACGCTCTGAAGAAAGGCACTACCGCCGTATCTCGGAAGCGATTGGGCTCTCCGAATGCTTCGGATGCTAGTGGCACCGACACTTCGCGGAAACGCAAGAGTAAACATATTTCGTCCCAGCCGGCGACTCAGCCGAGCTCCCGTCCCATGTCCCCTGCAGCAGGACCATCCGCTCCCGTAAGTATTAGCCTCATGGGCTGGCTGATCGCCATTCTTAGGTACGATGTTGACTAAACATAGGCTGGCAAGAAACGTGTGCGCAACCTACCCGCTGGTGCCGGCTCTGATGTGGACGGAGGCGCAGGGTCTGGCGCAGAGATGAGCGAAAGTGGCAAGGCAAAGAAGCTGAAGCTGAACCCTCCAGGGGTCTCCCGTAGCGGAACGCCACAGGGCTCTAGGGCCGGCAGCCCAACCCCCTTGGCTAGCAGGAGTTTCTCGGGAAGCCGTGCCAGTAGCCCGGAGTCGATGAGAGGTCCGTTCAATTCCAGCAACAAGGACGAAATTCGTAATACTAACAATCGTACAGGCCAGACTCGTGTCTCTACCCCGGGAGACGAAGACTTCCCTACCCCTGCCGAGATTCATGCTGCCATTCCTCAATCTGGAATTGGAAGTAGTGATCTGCTCAAGATTTTCCATTCTCGCATTGGCAAATCTAAAGAGAACCATCGCCGATTCATTGCCATCGTTAAAGACGTCGGGGTTTATGGAAAGGAGGATCGGTTGCTGAGACCAGGTGTGTTGAAGGACAGTTGATCAAATATAGCATGATCTCGCGGTGATTACAGGTGACGCAGTGTAACTATAATCAGAAGTACAATTTCCAATCATCTCGATATATTATGGTAGTTTAAACACACATGTTACGTTACTACGTGGCCTGCCATGTGCTACAAGCTTTCGTAGGAAATAACAGACTGCAGTCCATCTTTGCTAGCTATGTTAATCCTATTTGCGACTACTGATCAGGGGCCAAGATGAAAATGAAATCTTGTCATTAAAATCCTTCTAAACATATATTCTGCAGGTATAACATATCCCATCAACACATTAACAAAGAAATACAACAGGATCGATCAGAAGAACATCTAACACCACTAGCGTTGATAGAAAGCCGCTGAACAACAGAAAGCCATGATAGAAGCGCAACCACAGACTTTTGCAGTTTAAGCAGTCGCACCAGTACTGCGGGAGACGCTCTCGGTACCCTCCTCGTACTTATCCCAGTTCGCCAGGATATGGGCAATGCGGGGAGAGTTCGTGAGTCTGTACACATCTTCGAAGTACTCCTTCGTGATCTCGAATGGACGAGCGGTGACGTTGGGAATGTACTTGCCGACCAACTTGCTGGGATCAATGGTGGTCTTGTTGATCTTCTTCAGCAAGAAGGAACGGAAGGGCTTCACGCCAGAACGCAGGAAAGTACTGTGGAAAGGCACGTCAATTCCTCGGAGAGGAATGGTGGCGAAGCCTCGCTCAAGCACAATAGGCTTGGGCTTCGATTCGGTCTGCTTGACACACTCCTGGATGATCTTGACAAGGTGGGCCTTGACATCCTCCAGAGACATGCTCTGCATGAGAGCGGGAATGTCGATGTTCTGTGCCTTGAGGTAGTTCAGCAAGTTGGTGAGGCAGTCAAGTGCGCGAAGCTGGACGGAGAGGTTAGCTGAATGTCCTATACTGTCATGGAAAGAGAATTGAAACTTACATCACCAGCAGCGACGTATTGCATGTTCGCAACGTTGTAGTTGACAATTTCCAAGAGCCAACCAGTCTGTTCCGAGATGTTCTCGACAACATACTGCAGACCTTGTTCGTTGAAGGTCTTGGAAATGCGGCTGGGGTTCACAGCGCACATGGAGTAGTTGGAGCGACCCTGCTCGTCACGCTCCACAGCAACCTGCATAGTTAAACCACGGTAGAAGACAACGGAGACCAAGCTCTCGATAGGCATCACGTCGGCGAGAGCAGCAAGGGCGGAGTATTCACCAAGGGAATGACCGGCGAAGCTGCTGTCCCTTTGGACAAGGCCCTTGGAGCGCATGTCTTCAAAGGAGGCCTTCTCCATGAGGGTCAGGGCAGGCTGCGTGAACTGGGTAGCAGACAGGAGACCAGAGGGAGAGCGGTAGGTGTAAGAGCTCGTGCTCTCATCGATCTCCTTGAAGATCTTCTCAGACTTGATGGTTCCATCGGCATTCACAGTCTCGAAAGTCATGGACATGTAGTTCTGACGGATGGCCTTTCCGCGGGGACCGCCAAAGTAGACAGTCAGTTCCTTGGGGTTGTTCTTCACGATGTCAATGATCGAGAGACCGTAGTTCTCGATGAAGTGGCGGTCGGCCCGATCCCAGACTTCGCGCGCAACAGGGCTGTTGTTGTACAGCTCCATTCCCATACCCTGCTCCTGAGAACCCTGTCCAGTGAACACGTAAGAAGTCGCGGGCTGCTCGACTTCGGCTTCACCAAGGAGCACCTTGTCTTCAGTATCCTGGTTGCTGGCTTCGACCTTGATGATCTTGCGACCCGCAATCATACCGACGTGCTGCAACTTGACAGTGATCATGTCATTAGGGAGAACCATGCCCACGAGCGAAACATGGAAGCCACGCACGCGACCAATGTTGTTTTCAGCCGCCCAGGTCTCGACGTAGCTGCGAACAGCAGCGCTGCTGTACATGCCGTGGGTGATGGTTCCCGGCAGGTTGGCATAGCTGGAGAAGACACGCGAGACGTGGATGGGGTTGTAGTCGCCGGAGACGCGGGCATATGTCTCATTAGATGCAGGGGCGCGGAGAGTCAAGGGCGTCTTTCCGCTGAGCGGGATGGGGTTCTCGAAGTAAACCGGCTGTTCAATGGAGGTACCGTTGCGCTCCAGATAGTCGATCACGGGATTGCCGTGGGAAGCGCCAGCCTCGTAGTCGACGGAGGCAACCTGGATGACCTCCTTGGTAGGAAGTTCAAGAAGGACCTGGCCGACAGTTTGAACGTGGCTGAAAACAGACTTGTTCTTGAACCGGATCAGACTCTGAAGGCGGAAAGTCAAGGTCTGGCCCAAGAGTTCAACTTCGGGCTCGTCCATGCGGAACCACTCCTTCGACCGCAGGATCGCCACATCACGGCTCGAGGTGAGGTGAACTTGCATGGGGACCTCGTCCTTCCGCTGGAAGGTATTCTCGAAGTCGACATAGGCACCCCGGTACAGGAACTGACTCGTCACATGCATGATGGGCTTGCCATCCCGGCGAATGGTGCCGCAGACCTCGACCATCTTACCGGATTCCTGGTTGATGACGGCGTTGATCTGAGCGGTAGTGTCCAGAACATCACCGACCTTCAGGGGCTGGGCTCCAGGGACCATCTTGAATCCGTTGGACAGATGAACCAGCTTAAGCAAGTCTCCGTCGATCGTACGCGGGAAGATGGGCTTGGTGATAGCCTTCCATCCAGCAACAATGGCGAAGTCCATGGGAGCAAAGACCTCCTTGCCAGGACGGTCGACGAAAGCCTCGCCCGTGTTGCCGACCGCGTGAACGAAGTCGGCAACAGCCTGGGAGGTGATCGTTTCACGACCGCCGTCGAAGGTGGCGGTGGTCGGGGTGTCGAAGGGGACATCCTTGTTGCCGAACCAAATGCGGTAGTAGAACTCCTTGATGCGATCATTGCGGCTGTCCATCACTTCCCGGATAGGGGCGTATCCCGCCTCAGGATGGTAGGTAAACAGGAAGGTGAGGGGAACAACGCCACCTTCAGCGGTTCTGCCCTCGAACAGAGTGATGCCGATCTGATTGTTCTCGTGCATCTTCACCTCGACAGTCTTCACAAGCTTTCCAGACTGGTAGGGCTCCCGGACGCTGATGATGGTCTTGGAGGGGTCGTTGGGGTTGACAACCTCGACATACATGCCCGGGGTCGGAGCAACAATGCGCTTCATCGGATTCGTCTGGAAACGATGGCCTTGCACATACACATCCGCCATGAAGATGGCGTGTCTCCAGGAGTAGGACGTGCCAGCAAGGAGATGCAGCCAGCGGTTGAGGTCAGGGAGGTTGGCGGAAGGAGTGGAGGACAGGCGGTAGCTGATCTTGTTGCCATCCTCGGAAATGGTAAGTCCGTCAACATCGGGCTCCTCGACAGCCTCAGTGAGATGACCACCGAAGTATTCAATGATGGGAACGCGCGATTCATCGCCATTGTACACATCCTTGATGAGGCTCTTGATATGACCCTGATGGATACCGTTCAGAATATCGTAGACAGGCTCATCAATGACGTTGGAGAACTTGGCAGCCATCGGGCCTTGCAAAATACAAGTTCTGCCAACGTCCTGGCCGACTACTGCCTCGAGATCTTCGCTCTGCCAGAGAGAGTCCTTCTTGAACCAGTACTCAAAGTTCTCATCCAGAGAGGGAACGAAGGGAACTGGCTTCTGTCCGCGGCGCTGACAGAGCAGGAGGAAGTGCTGGACATCCTGCGCGTTGATCAACTGAGTCGCGGCTTCAGGGTAGGCAGCCAGGATGTTATCGATGGCAGGGTAAGGCGTATCCAGTTCCGAGTAGTTCTGTAGCAGAGACGGACGGGCTTCACCGGCAGTGAAACGCTCCTCGACACGACGAATGAAGTCACCGGTCAACTTCTTCAGGGAATCGTCGATCCAGCGAGATTCATGCTTCACGTACATGAGATCCACCATGCGGTGCACGACCTCAGTGTAAGTCATGTCCTCAAGGTCGACCGTCTCGCCGGCGGCATTGCGGCCGAACCAGACCTTCTGGAAATCGTCATTCAGCTTCTTGATGATGTAGTCACGCTGCTTCTTTAGCTCGGGTACACGCTTGGCCTTGTCAAGCTTGAAGATCTTCTGGTCCATCTCATGCCAGAAAAGCACACCTCGGGTGGCCAATTTGTGGATGGGCTCGCCCATTTCCGAAAGCACGGTGACCACACCGCCGGCGGCGCCCTTATAGGTCTTCTCCCAGTCCTGGTCGTCCAGACCCGGTGCATCAGCGATGGCCTTCTTGGCGTTCTTGGACGTGTGGGCTTCCTTGGCAATCATCATGCGACTTCCGAACAGACAGCCATCGAAAGGCATGGGAGGGTAGCCGAAACGAGAGGACCAAGTTCCCGACAGATACGGGTAGGTGTCCTCCGAGCCACCAAAGCCACTACCGGCGACGAGAACGATGTTGTCATAGCGGCGAATGCGGCTGTACATCTGGAGAATAGGCTGGTGGAAGTCTTCAAACGAGTGATGGCCACCACCACGGCCACCAGTCCATTGCAGGATGACGGGGAACTTAGGGTTGGCCTTCGCAATGTTGATGACCTGCTGAATGGCATCCACGGAACCCGGCTTGAAGGCGATGTGCTTGATGCCCAGGGTCTCAATGTACTCGTTCGCGACCTCAATGGACGGAACACCGGCGCCGATCGTCAGACCCTCAATCGGGACGCCATCGGCCCGCAGCTTGCCGATCAGCGGGATCTGCCAGGCCATCGCACGGGGGTTGACGTAGATCAGATTAACGGTAATTCCACGCCCAGGCGGGATCTGCTTTTCAATCTTGGTGATGGCCTCGGTCATCGTCTTGGCGTTGTAATAACCACCACCCGCCAGTTCGATGTGGAAGCCGGCGTTCATGGTTGCGGCGACAAAGTCCCAAGGAACGGTGGTGGGAGTCATACCGGCAACCATGACGGGAGGGATACCCAAAAGGCGGCTCATCTTGGTGTCGACGAAAGTCTGACCAGTCGCGTTCTTCACCAGACGGGGGCCGAACTCCTTCACCCAATCGATGGCGTACTTCACAGCGTGCTCATCACGGTCAAACAGCTCCGGCTTGTAGCCCACCTCAGCATTGGTACCATCCATGGCACCCGCGAGGACAACTCGAACACCCGTACCGTCCTTGTTGCGGTTCGTCAGAACACCCAAGCCGGAGATACCACCGGGACCAAAGTCCAGGATATGCGTGGCGCTGGGGAAGACGGTCGCCTGCTCCCAGTTGACAGCATCATGGGTGATCATGCGCACCAGGGCCGGGACAATGTTCGCATCGCCCATGGCTCTCAGATCTTCACCGGACTGAGTGCCATACACGGGAATCACAAGGGACTTGCCGGCGATTTCGACATCCTCCAGATCCTCCAGAATGCGATCATAGGCGGAGTACAGGTACTGGCTGTGGAAGGGGGCGGTGATGGGGAGGAAACGGTTGACGAAGCGAACTTTGCGCTGGGTGTAAGGAACGCGGTTCTGGTCCAAGCCGGTCGGGGCCTTGACCTTGCGCAGACGCAGGTTGAGACCGTACAGGGAGAGGGGAGGACCCGTGACAACGAAGTTCCGCGCACTGTTGACCAGGGAAATGGCAATGTGACGGTCCTCCGGGAGATGCTGATTCGTCATGTCGATGTGCTCCTGAACCGCGGCACGGGGGAGATCCCGAATGGACAACATGGGGGTCGGGGTGCCTTCGCCATTTTCAATGGAGTCCTGCAGCACCGAGGGGGCAATGGAGGTCCGGGGATAGGCTTGCTGACTGCGGAGACCAATCCAGAAGAGCATGGTCAGGGCGTTCTTGGCGGCCTTGTGGAAGCTCTCCCAGCTGGTGGCGGAGGCGATCGCGGCGGCCGTGACGACACCCTGAGAGTGACCCGTCGTTCCATTAAAGCGGGACAGAATGTCACCGGGTTCTTTGCCCAGCACCTTGCAGGTGACGACGAAGTGGGCGAGTTGCACCAACCCAATCAAGGGCAAACTCACGGGAGCGGAGACGAGGTAGTCCGTGTCCGGCTGGGAGTCGCGGTCGTGGAGCCACTGGATGATGTCCAGACCCTTGGGGTAAAGCTTGTTGGCCTCGGGCTCGCGAGAGAGGGAGAGCAGCAGCTCCGCGGAGGAAGTGATCAGGTCTTCCACGAAGGACGGGTAGGTGGTGTAGACCTCACGCAGTTCATCAAAGTATTCTTCAATGTTCCCCTGACCGCCGAAGACGGAGTAGATGCTGGCCTTCTCGTCGGCTGCGGCGCGGAACAGAGCCGAGTCGTAGGGCTTGGTGGGCCGTCCGGCGGCGGCACGACCGGCATAGTAGGCCTGGACGACAAGAACCTTTTTCGAGGTGATGCCGGGCAGGCTGGCAGCGACGGCATGAACATCATTCCCACGCATGAAGGCGCGTTCGAACTCGTTCAAGGCCAGCTTCAAGACCTCCAGATAAGTGCCCTGCGCATCATCCTCACCTTCTTCCACCTCATGAGCGACATGGCCGATGTAGCGAGCGACCAGCTCGGCGACGGACGACGGTTCCTCATCTTGAGCCAGCTCATCTGTTGGTTGGGGGAGGGAGGCGGTGAAAGTGTCCTTCAGTTGCGATGCATGGAAATGGATGGAGGTCGGGACGAGGAAGGAGAATTCCAGGGAGCCGTGCGAGAGAATCAGAGGGCGTAAGGATTGAGAGGAGCGAGGGGTATTAATGCCCGTCTGAGGGGCGGTCGATGTGCCGTACATCGTGTGGAAGTTTTCCAACGGGAGGAAAGGAATAAAAGTAATGACTGTGGAGGATGATTAGCCATTGAACGATCGATCTTATAATGCGAGGGAGATCATGAGGATTGTTTGGCATCGCGGTGTCCAACAGTCTCGTTTTGAAGAGAATTTTTTTTTGGGGCCGACGTACCTATTTGCTAGGAGCCGTTCTAGATTAAGTGTGGCTCACAAGAAAAGATTCAGCTGGTCCACCACCCCGCTGAAAATTGAAGCAGAAGAGAGAAACAAAAAGATAAGGGGAGGAAATATGATTACAGCATGAATGGAAGAGACAATGGGTCGTGAGCGGAGGAGAGGGATGGGAGGTGTAGGTGGGGGGGAGGATGGCGGAGAGGAGAGAGAAAGGAAGAATCAATTGACACTCCAGACGCAGGAGGAATTGATCTAGAAGAAAGAGGGGGGAAGACGACCGAGAAGAAGAATCCCAAACCCACGAGCGACGAGGAGAGGAAAAGAGAGAAAAAGAGAGAGATAGCAGCGGCCGTGACTATCCAGATGGATGAAGCAGAGCCAACCGGCCGGGCGGAGAAGAAAAGCGGCCGATGGTTGAATGGGCCGCATCCCGATCGGGTAAGGTGGGCTCCCCAAAGGTCCAAAACGGTTGGGCGTTAGTCAGCCATCTGGCCGGCAAGCCGAAACTAAATGCTGATGATCGCTGGATTTACGATTAGTTAGAAGGTCTAGTCGTACAGCTAGTATCAGTAGTATTCTGATTATGGCATGATGCTTGAGTTATCTGTACCTATACGGGGTTGTGCATAAAGGTTGATGGCTGGAGTAGACGGGCAGACAATATTGATTAGTATTCCCCAGCACAGTCATCCGTGGTTATCAGTGGACCGAAATTTGCAGGACGACTGTATGAATTTTCTGAGTAGTAGTAGATCTAGACCTGGTGACTGCCAGTCTCTTCAATTGTACTTATGGATGAGAATATTGTATTCAATGGACTTTTGTATATCATCCTAAGATAGTAATTACTATAGTGACTACTATAGCAGAGTACTACCATAGCTACCTCTACTACTAGGTAGTATTCTCGTACCTGGTAAGCAGGTAAGCTCAACTGATCCGATGGATCCTTCGGCCGATGCAGCCAACAGAAGGTCCCCGCCGGTCCACCCCAACACTCACCAAATTCCCATCCGTCAATCCCCAATCGCCCTCCTTCGCCTTCATTCTCTCTCATCCATTCTCTTTCTTGCGCAAATCAATTTCCCTCCATTATTCTCCCCCAGCTGTGGTCCCAACCTGGGGTGAGTTTCTTCCTTTTTTCCGCGCTTTTTCCAGAGGTACGTACCGTATCCGGTTTCTTATACTGTCACCGAACCCACCCGCCGAAAAAAAAAGGTTGGAGACCTTCCCTCCTATCTTTTTTCCTCTCCTCTCCCTCTCCCTCTCTCTCCAATTTCTCCCTCCCCCAAGGCGGTCATCACAAACAGACGCCTGGTCGTTTGGTGATTTCTTTCTCAGAGACCTTTGAATACTAATCCTCATGATTGACTAGGTCTTCTGTTCTATATCCTTTTCTTCTGTTACTTCTTTAATCACTTGTTCTTCCCCTCCTCCTCCCTCCCGCCTCATCGACCCGCCATTCTCCCATCCATCCTCTCAATTGAACCGAATCTGTCATTGGGTCGAATCTTGAAGTGATCTTTTGCTGGTCGCTATCCTCTCTCTCTTCTTCTCGCCTCTCCGATATCCCCTTCCTCCAACATGCGTCCCGAAATCGAGCAGGAGCTCGCCCACACCCTGCTGGTCGAGCTTCTCGCCTACCAATTCGCCTCTCCCGTGAGATGGATTGAAACGCAAGATGTCATCCTTGCAGAGAAGCGCACCGAGCGCATTGTCGAAATCGGTCCCGCAGATACCCTGGGCGGAATGGCGAGACGGACGCTCGCCTCCAAATACGAAGCATATGATGCCGCCACCTCCGTACAACGTCAGATCCTTTGCTATAACAAAGATGCGAAAGAAATCTACTACGACGTGGACCCGGTTGAAGAAGAGCCGGAACCCTCAGCCGCCCCCGCCGCCGGTACGCCCGCCCCGGCTGCTCCCGCTGCTGCTGCGGCTCCCGCTGCCGCTGCTGCGCCCGCTCCTCCCAGTGCCGGTCCCGCCGCCGCGGTGGAAGACGCTCCGGTCAGCGCTGTCGATGTCCTCCGTACTCTCGTCGCACAGAAGCTCAAGAAGGGCCTGTCGGACGTTCCCTTGAACAAAGCCATTAAAGATTTGGTTGGTGGTATGTATCAAAGCCCCCCTCCGCTGGAATTGCGCGCGCTTACGCCTCTGGTCGTTGAACAGGTAAATCGACTCTGCAAAATGAAATCCTGGGTGATCTGGGCAAGGAATTCGGCTCGACCCCGGAGAAGCCGGAAGACACTCCGCTGGATGAGCTGGGTGCCGCCATGCAGGCGACCTTCAATGGGCAGTTGGGTAAACAGTCGTCGTCTCTAATCGCGCGTCTGGTGTCCTCCAAGATGCCCGGTGGCTTCAACATTACCGCCGTACGCAAATACCTGGAGACGCGGTGGGGTCTGCAATCGGGCCGTCAGGACGGCGTGCTCCTGCTCGCATTGACCATGGAGCCTGCGTCTCGAATTGGCTCGGAGCCCGATGCTAAGGCCTACCTCGACGACGTTGCCAACAAGTATGCTGCCAATGCAGGAATCAATCTGTCTGCTCCCACCGCCGCCGGAGACGCGGGCGGCAGTGGTGGCGGCATGCTGATGGACCCCGCGGCCATCGACGCCCTGACCAAGGACCAGAGGGCCCTGTTCAAGCAGCAACTCGAGCTTATTGCCCGTTACTTGAAGATGGACCTCCGGGAGGGTCAGAAGGCGTTCATTACCTCCCAAGAGACCCAGCGTGCGCTCCAGGCCCAGTTGGACCTGTGGCAAGCCGAGCATGGCGATTTCTACGCGTCCGGAATTGAGCCTGCCTTTGACCCACTGAAAGCCCGTGTGTACGATTCCTCATGGAACTGGGCTCGTCAGGATGCGTTGAGCATGTACTATGATATTATCTTCGGCCGCCTGAAGGTGGTAGACCGTGAGATCGTCAGCCAGTGCATCCGCATTATGAACCGCTCCAACCCGCTCCTCCTCGAATTTATGCAGTACCACATCGACAACTGTCCCACCGAACGCGGTGAAACGTATCAGCTCGCCAAGGAACTGGGCCAACAGCTCATCGAAAACTGCCGCGAGGTACTCGGCGTGGCTCCCGTGTACAAGGATGTCGCTGTTCCCACCGGCCCTCAGACCACCGTCGACGCTCGGGGAAGCATCGGTTACAAGGAGGTGCCCCGCGCCAGTGCCCGCAAGCTGGAGCACTACGTCAAGCAGATGGCCGAGGGTGGCCCGATCTCCGAGTATAGCAACCGCGCCAAGGTGCAAAACGACCTTCGCAGCGTGTACAAGATGATCAAGAGACAGCACCGCCTGTCCAAGTCTTCTCAACTGCAGTTTAACGCTCTTTACAAGGAGGTCATCCGCGCCCTGAGCATGAACGAGAACCAGATCATGCCGCAGGAGAACGGCAACGGCAAGAAGTCAGGTCGCAATGCTGTTCGTCGCAATGGCAGCCCTCGTGTGGGCAAGGTGGAGACCATCCCTTTCCTGCATCTCAAGAAGAAGGCGGAGCATGGTTGGGAGTACAACAAGAAGCTGACTGGAGTCTATCTGGACGTTCTGGAGTCCGCCGCCCGGTCCGGCCTGACCTTCCAGGGCAAGAATGTTCTGATGACCGGCGCTGGTGCTGGGTCCATTGGTGCCGAAGTTCTTCAGGGTCTGGTCAGCGGTGGTGCCAAGGTGGTGGTCACGACCAGCCGTTACTCGCGTGAAGTGACCGAATACTACCAGGCCATGTATGCTCGCTACGGTGGTCGCGGCTCTCAGCTTGTCGTGGTTCCCTTCAACCAGGGCAGCCAGCAGGATGTGCAAGCCCTGGTGGACTACATCTATGATACCAAGAAGGGTCTGGGCTGGGATCTGGACTTTGTCGTGCCGTTCGCTGCGATCCCGGAGAATGGTCGCGAGATTGACTCGATCGATTCCAAGTCCGAGCTGGCCCATCGCATCATGCTGACCAACCTTCTGCGTCTCTTGGGCTCGATCAAGTCTCAGAAGCAGAGCCATGGCTTTGAGACCCGGCCGGCCCAGGTCATCCTTCCCCTGTCTCCCAACCACGGCACCTTCGGCAACGACGGTCTCTACTCCGAGTCGAAGCTTGCCTTGGAGACTCTCTTCAACCGCTGGTACTCGGAGAGCTGGAGCAACTACCTCACCATCTGCGGTGCCGTCATTGGCTGGACTCGTGGAACTGGCTTGATGAGCGGTAACAACATGGTTGCGGAAGGTGTCGAGAAACTCGGTGTCCGTACCTTCTCGCAGCAGGAGATGGCGTTCAACTTGCTCGGCCTGATGGCTCCTCAGATCGTTAACCTCTGCCAGCTCGACCCCGTCTGGGCCGATCTCAATGGTGGTCTTCAGTTCATCCCTGACCTTAAGGGCCTCATGACTAAGCTCCGGACCGACATCATGGAAACTAGCGACGTTCGCCAGGCTGTGATCAAGGAGACTGCCATCGAGAACAAGATTGTCAACGGTGAGGCCAGCGAATTCCTCTACAAGCGTGTTGTGGCCGAGCCCCGCGCGAATATCAAGTTCGAGTTCCCCAAGCTGCCCGACTGGGAGGAAGACATTAAGCCTCTCAACGAGAGTCTCAAGGGAATGGTCAACTTGGACAAGGTGGTCGTTGTTACTGGGTTCGCGGAAGTCGGTCCTTGGGGTAACTCGAGAACTCGCTGGGAGATGGAAGCGTACGGCAAGTTCTCCCTCGAGGGCTGTGTCGAGATGGCGTGGATCATGGGTCTTATCAAGCACCACAATGGTCCCCTGAAAGGAAAGGCTTACTCTGGCTGGGTTGACGCCAAGACCGGAGAGCCTGTCGACGACAAGGATGTCAAGCCCAAGTACGAAAAGTACATCCTGGAGCACTCTGGTATCCGTCTGATCGAGCCTGAGCTGTTCAAGGGCTACGACCCCAAGAAGAAACAGCTGCTTCAGGAGATCGTCATTCAGGAGGATCTTGATCCCTTCGAGGCCTCCAAGGAAACCGCCGAGGAGTTCAAGCGGGAACACGGCGAGAAGGTCGAGATCTTTGAGCTGCCTGAGTCCGGTGAATACACGGTTCGCCTGAAGAAGGGTGCTACTCTCCTTATCCCCAAGGCCCTCCAGTTCGACCGTCTCGTTGCTGGCCAGGTTCCCACCGGCTGGGACGCCAAGCGCTATGGTATCCCTGACGACATCATTGAGCAGGTCGACCCTGTCACTCTGTTTGTTCTTGTCTGTACTGCGGAATCCATGCTCTCGGCCGGTATCACCGATCCTTATGAGTTCTACAAGTACGTCCACTTGTCCGAGGTCGGTAACTGCATTGGTTCCGGTATTGGAGGTACCCATGCCTTGCGGGGTATGTACAAGGACCGCTATCTCGACAAGCCGCTGCAGAAGGACATCTTGCAAGAGTCCTTCATCAACACAATGAGTGCTTGGGTCAACATGTTGCTGCTGTCTTCTACCGGTCCCATCAAGACCCCTGTGGGAGCTTGTGCCACAGCCGTGGAGTCCGTCGACATTGGTTATGAGACTATTGTTGAGGGCAAGGCTCGTGTCTGCTTCGTCGGTGGATTCGACGACTTCCAAGAGGAAGGTTCATACGAGTTCGCCAACATGAAGGCCACCAGCAATGCCGAGGACGAATTCGCCCATGGACGTACTCCTCAGGAAATGTCCCGGCCCACCACCACCACCCGTGCTGGATTCATGGAGTCCCAGGGTTGTGGTATGCAGCTGATCATGAGCGCCCAGCTTGCCTTGGACATGGGTGTTCCTATTCACGGTATCATTGCATTGACCACCACCGCTACTGACAAGATTGGCCGCTCTGTCCCTGCCCCCGGTCAAGGTGTCCTCACCACTGCCCGTGAGAACCCCGGCAAGTTCCCCTCTCCCTTGTTGGACATCAAGTACCGTCGCCGCCAGCTTGAGCTGCGTAAGAAGCAGATTAAGGAGTGGCAGGAGTCCGAGCTGTTGTATCTCCAGGAGGAGGCGGATGCCATGAAGGCCCAAGACGAGTCTTTGAACGTGTCCGAGTACCTCCAGGAGCGCGCTCAGCACATCGAGCGCGAGGCTATCCGACAGGAGAAGGACGCTCAGTTCAGCCTCGGCAACAACTTCTGGAAGCAGGACTCTCGCATTGCTCCTCTGCGTGGCGCCCTCGCTACTTGGGGTCTTACTGTGGATGATATTGGTGTCGCTTCTTTCCACGGTACCTCGACTGTGGCCAATGACAAGAACGAGTCGGATGTCATCTGCCAGCAGATGAAGCACCTGGGCCGCAAGAAGGGCAACGCTCTTCTGGGTATCTTCCAGAAGTACCTCACCGGTCACCCCAAGGGTGCGGCTGGTGCCTGGATGTTCAACGGCTGTCTGCAGGTCCTGGAGTCCGGCCTGGTTCCTGGTAACCGGAATGCGGACAACGTGGACAAGGTCATGGAGAAGTTCGATTACATTGTCTACCCCAGCCGCAGCATCCAAACCGACGGTATCAACGCCTTCTCGGTCACTTCCTTCGGTTTCGGTCAGAAGGGTGCTCAGGTCATTGGTGTCCACCCCAAGTATCTGTATGCCGCTCTGGACCATGCTCAGTTCCAGACCTACAAGGCCAAGGTTGAAGCCCGCCAGAAGAAGGCCTACCGGTTCTTCCACAACGGCCTGATCAACAACAGCATCTTCGTTGCCAAGAACAAGGCTCCGTACGAGGATGAGCAGCAGAGCAAGGTCTTCCTCAACCCCGATTACCGCGTCGCTGTCGACAAGAAGACCTCCGAGCTCAAGTTCCCTTCGGTTCCCCCCAAGGTCGCCGACAAGGGTGTTGATAGCACCGCGAAGGTAGTCGAGTCTCTTGCCAAGGCCAATGCTGCCGAGAACTCGAAGGTTGGCGTCGATGTGGAGAACATTGACGCTGTGAACATTCAGAACGAGACTTTCCTCGAACGCAACTTCACGGCGGGTGAGCAGGAGTACTGCCTCAAGGCGGCTTCTCCCCAGTCCTCGTTTGCCGGTCGATGGAGCGCGAAGGAAGCGGTCTTCAAGTCGCTTGGTGTCAGCAGCCAAGGCGCCGGTGCTCCTTTGAAGGACATCGAGATCGTGAATGGCCCCACCGGGGCGCCCGAAGTCAACGTAAGTTCGTCCACTGCAATGTGCGTGTCAACCTCACTAACACGTCGTATAGCTCCACGGTGCAGCAGCAGAGGCCGCTAAGAAGGCTGGCGTGAAACAGATCAGTGTGAGCATTAGCCATAGTGATTCCCAGGCTGTTGCGGTGGCGGTTTCCCAGTTTTAATGTCTTGATGAGAGATGTGGATTAGAGGTTCATGTGCATTCAGTGTAGATACATATTTGTGTGGTTATGCTATTCCCTTGATGTTTCTAGATAGTTCTAATGCTGAGTGAGTTACACCTTCCTACATCTAGCCTTAGAAGTGGTCATGTAGTTGCTAAATATCTATGCTTACATGTACATTTATACTAAAAAGAAATGCCTGGCTAGAATACAATCACGAACAATCATCGTTTCCCGGACGCCCGGTTCAGAGGCCCCCAGTTCGCACGCGGATTGATCTGATACCGGACGAGACGCTTTCTCTTGAACGTCTCGCGCCCGAGATCCTCATCAAACACAATCTCCAACTCGTTCGGCGACGGGTTCCCATCGGACTTGGCCTTTGCCAGCTGGCCATCTTCCCCAGGGACCGAGTCCTGCGGCGCCCGATCAGCAGCAGCAGCCGGTTCTTTACCCAGCGATTGCCGTGACCCGGAGCGATACAAAGCCGCCTCAACCTTCGTAACCAGATCGGCCACATCCTTCCCGCCGTCCACGGCAGACAGGATCTCCCTCCGCAGCAGATCCAGCGGCGTGTCGGGCTGGGGCGCGGTCTGGCGGTCCCGGGCTCTGGCCATGATGGCGGCGCCCGCGGAGCCGGGTTTGAGGGCGCCCTCTTTGACGGGGGATTTCTGGCGGACCCATTCGCGCATGACCTCCCAGATGACCTCCCAGGGGGCGTCGGTGCGCACTGTGTTGGGCTTCGTATGGCTGCGGGTGGAGCGGTAGCCGAGGCGGCGGAGGGCGCCGCGGAAGGCGTCGAAGGGGATGGTGGAGGTTTTGAGGACTTTGGAGAGCGCGCTGAGGGTGAAGTAGAAGGGGTGTTGTTCGCGGAGGGAGGGGTCGAGCCGCGGGATGATGGCGGCGTATTCGTTGTTCTCGGTGGCGGCGGTGTCTTGGTGCTCGGGGGTTTGGGGGCGCTCGAGCGGGTCGCCGATGGTAAAGTCTTCCTCGAGCGCGGTGGTCAGCATACCCTCGATGCGCGGGATGGTGTGGTAGACGCTCCGGTCCAGCGTGGGGAGGAGGTCGAGGATGCGCTGGATGAAGGCGATGTTGTGGAGGGGACCCGCCCACATGGGCCCGGCCATGTGCGTTTTGGTGCCGCATTGCGCGCAGTGTCTGTCTGCGAGCGGGCCTTGGGTGAAGCCGTAGTGGTAGAAGGGGTTCCCGCGCTTGTCGAGGCGCTGCTTGGTCGCGGTAAGCGGTTGCGTGGTCCACGCGCCGCAGCCCACGTCGCAGTTGTAGACGAGCATGGTCTTGCCCGAGAGGAACTTGACGTCGGCGGGCGAGCGGTAGACGCGGACGAACACGCGGGCGTAGAAGTCGATCGACAGGGACAGGAGGGGCTCGATCGCGAGCCCGTACTTGGCCGCAGAGGTGGCGAGCGCGTGCAGGATCAGCCGCAGGCCGCCCTCGTGCGAATGCGAGCCCTTGATGGGGACGCCGCCGTACAGCGAAAAGGCCTTCTCGGGATACCCGTTGGACGCCCAGACGCCCGCGTCGGTGCAGGTCACGCACAGCATGCCGCCGTCCTTGACCGCGTTGAGGGTCGCGTCTATGAACGGCGAGGCCGTGCCGTACGGGTCGAGGTCGATGACATCGAACTTGCCCGTGTACACGCCGCCATCCTGGGAGGCGGACGGGTTGACGTTGTACATGTAGGCCCGCGCGTCCCCATTGTTGGGCTGCACGAGCTTTTCGAGCTTGTTGTATCTGATATTCATTTTCATCGACTCAATCGCCGGAGCAGAAAGGTCGTTGGCGACGACGCGAGTGACGAATGGAATCTCGGAGGCATAGCGGAGCGCACGCAGTCCCGTGGCAGACAAGGCATCGAGAACCGTGAACGACGGTGGAGTGCTGGGCTCGGGATTCGATGCGGGCGTTGGCTCGTTTCCGTTAGTCGCGTGGTTGGCTTCCTCGCCTTCAGCCTTGGATTCCTGCTCAGCCTCTCCCTGCTCATCTCTCTTGCGCTTCTTGCCCTTCGCGGCGCCCTTCTCCGCTGCCCTTCGCTTTTTCCTCTCGGCATTGCGCTTCTTCAACGCCTGCACATGTTCGCCATGGACGCGGACCGCGAGGACGCTCAGATCCCGGTTGAACTGCTGGATGGGGTTGTAGAACACGGACTGCAGTTCGTCGTCCTCCTTGAGGTCTTTTCTGGTCGCCTCCGAGGCCGCAGCCTGTGAGGCCGGGTTGAGGATGCACGCAAGACCTTCTTTGACGACTCTGTATTCTTTACCCTCATGCTGGACCAATTGCTCCGGCACAGGGGCAGACGGCGATTCCTCCATTCTTCTGGATTGCGACGAGCAGCTGCGAAAGGGCGATGGCTGGAACTGACCGCGGGGAAAATTGTCGACGTGCGGATATCGAGCAGTGGGTCTCGCGAGTCCGGAGATGGCGCGGATTGTGAACAGACGATACAGAGGCCACGGATTCAAGCGCATCGGCTCGAAGGGGCCAGTGTGTTCGTGAAGACGAGCGGCTCCGAGGATGTAGTCGGACGTGGTGGCTGCGCGGGGATTTTCTTCGGCCTCCGAAGCCAAAAAAATTCAACGCACGGACCAGCCTTATATACTCGCTTTAAGGTGGTAACCATGTAGTCAACCAACGTTGATAATCTTCAATTGTTCATCCTCTCATATTATTAACTATTATGTATGCTGTTGCTTATTGTACAATTATGTCGCAGAAATATACCCCCCCAGAGTTAGCATCTCACAACCAGGCGCCGATGACGGGCACATGGCTATAGATTTCATTCCAGCTGCTGGCCTCCCATCCGGTGCCCTGTCCTGCGCGGCCGATGATGCCCAGCGCTCCAGCAAGCCAGATGGACGCTCCGACAGCGGCGATGCCGTTCACCACCCACCACATCTTTTTCTGCTTCTTAGCACGTTGCTCATTCTCAGGATATCCCAGGTATCCCTCCAACGAGCCCTTCTTGTTCCGCAGCTCTTTGCGAGCCGTCGTAACCCTCCATCCCATCCAGGCAGCCCAACCGCCAACGATATGCCACACGCCCACGGCGACAAACAGCAGGTAGTAGATATTCCAAAACACGGGGCTCCGCGCGAACCCGTGCGCCACGTACCCGAGACCGACGCCCGAACTGCCACCGTCTGCGATCAACGGCGTCACTCGGTTCACCAGGACGTGGGTGCCGATCAGGGGGGCGAGAAAATATCCCAGGCGGGCCTGCAAGCTCATGCGAGGCCAGAAGCTCAGCATGTACCGCTGGGACCGGGTCTCCGCGCCGTAGAGCCGAGCGCGCCGCGACGAGCGAATATTCCGCAGGGCGACGCCCGACGCGATGTGGGCCAGGATGGGAATAGTCAGCACCACATGCTCGAGAGACGGAGACTGGTAGACGGGCCGCGTCAGGAGCAAGTAGTTTTCACTGTCGGCGACGGAACGAGTTGCGAGGGGGATAAGCGAGGTGTTGGCGAAATGGAGTGCAAAGAAGAATGTAGGCGGGTATGTCGAGTATTTTTGGAGCGCAGACACTAGATAGAAGCAGGCAAGCGTTAGTCTAAGTAGATAGGATTGGGGTTTGCTGTTTTCCGGGCAAACATACACCACGAATCCCAGTTGTGGCCGCGGAGACCAAAGCCGCGGATCGAAATCCCGCTGCGACCAGGTGTGGCCTGTTGCTGCGATTGGGAGTCTCGCGGCTTGGGGACATATTCGCCGCTCTCGATGTCCGGGAACTCATCCTGGACAGGCGACGGATCCAATTCCTGCATAGAGATCACCGAGCGCGTCTCGATGTCCTCTGGCTTTTGTGAAGGCGCCATGGTGGCGGAGCTCGTTGAGAGACCTGACAAACAAAGAAAAAGAAAAGGATCAAATAAAAGGATATATTACAGTCATACAATCATTAGCATCGTCACGGCGAAGAAGTCGAACTGGAGAGAAATCCATCGACGCAATGGGCGCTTTTGTTGGAAGTTGGCTGATCCCGCCTAATAATCCCGCCCCTGTGATTGGTCATGGCATGTGGATGGGAGTATGGGCACTTTGGTATGGATTCCATGTAGATACAAATCCTCACTCAAGGAGGAATATTATGGGATGCTGGAGTATGAGTGATTTGCATAGTATCAAGAGAGAAATTGGATGGATGCGCCTGTATGAGAGAGCTCCCATTGAGGAACGCGATCTCAGAATGGCAGGCGGTGTCTTTCGACAGGCAGAATCATTCTCCCACTGTGCTCATTCTGGCGGTATCCAGCCTCGAATGCGATCCCACTCAATCTTCTCATAATCAGAGCGTTGTCCCATTATCTCAGCCAGAATGGCGCCAGTATGTTACCCGCAGTATCCACACTCATAGACGAAGATGCGCTACTAACGCGCTTGTCGCAACCTGCAGCGAGGCTTTACGAACCCAGCCCCAAAGGTATGATGATATCGATGATTGCTTGCGCATGTACCGACTAACACACAATGTCCGACGCAGACGGAATCGGCGCGTTCCGCCTTGAGCTCCTTCACCTGCACCCTCTGTAACAAGTCATATTCACGCCATCCCGAGTACGAAGCACATATCTCGTCCTACGACCATCAGCATCGCAAGCGTCTACAAGATCTCAAACAGCTATCGCGCGACCCCAATGCGGCCGAGAAAGCTCGACGAGCGGAGCGGAGAGCTGATGCTGAAGCCGGATTAAGAACGATCAGTACTGGAGCTCCGACTTCTGGCAGTGGCGGAGGCGGGGGGTTCAAAAAGGGCGGATTCAAGAGTTCTTTTACCGCGGTGAAAGGTCCGGGGGCTCCCGCGGTGCCGAAGAAGAATGTACTCGGCGATGATGATGAAGACGACGAGCCTCAGTCCAGCGGACCGGCCGAAACTACAGACCGTGCACAAACAAAAACCCCCAAAAGTTCCAACCCACCGAATGAGCTTGGGGAGAGCGACACGGACGAAGAGTATGCCAATGACACAGCCGGTGGGGGCTATTACGATCCGCGAAAACCTACAGGTTGCTTTCATGGGTGTGCAGGGTATACGCCGGCTCAAGTGGAACCTGCGAAGTGAGCATTCTGATCTCAAATTCTGCCGTTTTCTTAGATCATGCATATGGAGAATGTTCGGCGTTGGGATAGGAGTTTGGGTATACCTTTGATCATTGATTACACGACCATATGGGCGTCCAACCACATTTACTGCACGAATGTCGGTCACTAGGCCAATCTTTGAATACAACACATGCCTTGCCACATCTGCCTTTCACATAAGAACACTCTATATAACTTCTCTAGTTTGAATACAACGTATCACAGGCGTCCCCTAAATACCCCTTGACAACACCATGCGGCTGATATCGGTCAGGAATGCAGACAAAGTTTATTCTTTGATAGTCGTACAGATTCCAAAAGTTGGATGGGAAGTAATCAGCAGAAATAACGACAAACAGACCGCACGCGAAAAAAAGGGTACTAGATACATGGCTTATTATTCAGTTTCCTGGAACTCCTGACATTCGTCGGTCACCCGAAAGCCATTTACAGGCGGAGAAGCTTGGCAGCCTGGCTGACAATGGTGTCCTCCTGGGGGAAGCTCATCTGCTCCAGGCCGGCGGCGTAAGGAGTAGGAACCTCAGCACCAGTGACACGGACAGCAGGGGCCGTGAGGTAGTCGAAGCCGTACTCCATCGACAGAGCCATGATCTCCGAGGCAACACCGAACATGGGGAATCCGGACTCGACACACATGATGCGGCCAGTCTTCTTGAGGGACTGGATGACCGTCTCCACATCAAGGGGCTTGACAGAGCGAAGGTTGATCACCTCAGCCTCCACACCGTACTTCTGCTTCAGCTCTGCGGCAGCGTTCATGGAGAGTCCGACACAGCGGGAGAGAGAGACAATGGTAAGATCCTTTCCGGGGCGCTCAATCTTGGCCTTGCCGATGGGCAGGACGAAGTCGTCCTTCTGAGCGGCCTCGCTCATGGGGAAAGCCTGGCCGTACATAAGCCTAGAAGTCGGTCAGCGCGAGACTCGGATAATGATGTGTACATGTATCAAGGGTACATACTCGTTCTCCAGAACCACAACGGGGTTGGGGTCCCGGATAGCAGCCTTCAGCAGACCCTTGGCATCCTCGGAGCTCCAGGGAGAAACCACCTTGAGACCGGGAATGCTACCGTACCAAGCGGAGTAATCCTGAGAGTGCTGAGCGGCGACACCCGCAGCGAAACCGTTGGGTCCACGGAAAGTGATGTTGCAAGGCTGGATACCTCCAGACATGTAGTGGGTCTTAGCGGCGGAGTTGATGATCTGATCGATGGCTTGCATGGCAAAGTTGAAGGTCATGAATTCGCACTAGATGGGAAGATACAGGTCAGCCACATGATCGCTGACAATGGTCCTGTCATAGGGCGAAGGCAGGAAGGCATGACTTACAATAGGGTGCAGACCGGCGAGGGCGGCGCCGACAGCCAGACCGCAAAAGCCTGCCTCTGTGATCGGGGTATCAATAACCCGCTTGGGACCGAAGCGGTCCAGCAGACCCCTTGTGACCTTGTAACTGTTCAATTCCACCCGGTTAGACATGCGCTTGACGATGGAGATGGACGACGGAGAGAATTGGGGTGATTCCATACGCTCCGTTGTACTGTGCGACCTCCTCTCCCATGATGAACGTCTTCTGGTTGCTCTCCAGTTCCTCCGCAAGAGCCTCGTTCAGCGCATCACGGACAGTGACCTCCTTGGTACCGCCAGTGGCATATCCACGGAAGCGCAACAGAGAGGGAGCGCAAGCGGTCTGAGGGAAGGCCGGACGAGCCGCGGAAAGGCGAGAGGAGAGCAGACGAGCTGCAGGGCGGAAAAGTCGGGGAGCAGCCATGGCCGGGCTGGTGAGGGAGACCGACGGTAGAAGAGTAAAGAAGAGACGAGAGAAGATGGACAGAAGCTCCGAAACGGCCGGGAGGGAACCGGGATGGAATTGAGGCAGAAAAACGAGAGAGGTGAGGGAGTAGAATCGACGACGGCGACTATCGAAAACACTGGTTGAAACGGATTTTTGGTGGTGAACGCCGGCGAGAACTGTTGGGCGGGCGGCTGACTCAGCATCTCACCGGCGGCTGCTTCCGTCCGGCGCGTTGTTGGGTTTCCTCCGGTCTCCGTCGAACACAAACATCATCCTGACTTCAACTAACTATGCTCCCCCTAGTCCTTCTTCTCCCCCTCTTATCGTCGGCTCTCCAGCCGTCCGCCCCGGATCCTATCGCCGCTCCTCTGCGGGACCTGACATGGGGTCAACTCAACTTCCTGCACACCACCGACACGCATGGCTGGCTGGCCGGCCATCTCCAAGAGCCCTCCTATGCGGCAGACTGGGGCGATTATGTCTCCTTCACCACCCGGATGCGAGAGAAGGCGGATGCGCAAGGCGCCGATCTTCTCGTTATCGATACCGGTGATAGGGTGGAAGGCAATGGCCTCTATGATTCCTCCGAACCCAAAGGAGTATACATCTCCGAGATCTTACGACAACAGCATATTGACTTGATGTGTTCGGGGAACCATGAATTATACCAAGAGAATACCTCGCTGGCCGAGTTCTTCAACACCGTTCCCAACTTCCGCGGGAACTATCTCGCGTCGAACATTGACATCATCCATCCCACCACGGAAGAGCCCGTCCCGCTAGCTCCCCGATACAAGAAGTTCACCACCAAGAACCAGGGGATCCGTATCGTAGCATTTGGCTTTCTCTTCGACTTCACAAAGAACTATAACAACACGATTGTCCAACCAGTAGAGGATACCATCAAAGAAGACTGGTTTCAGGAAGCCATCCGGGACAAAGATGTCGACCTCTTTCTGGTCATCGGGCATGTGCCCGTCCACTCCACAGAATACGATGCCATCTTCAAGGAGATTAGGGCAATCCGTTGGGACACTCCGATCCAGTTCTTTGGCGGCCATCAGCATATCCGCGACTTTGCTCGCTATGACTCGAAGGCGTACGGACTGGCGAGCGGTCGGTTTATGGAAACCATTGGCTTCATGTCCATTGACGGTCTGTCCACTCATCGCCAACGGATCAAGCCCGCCTTGACGTCCCCTAAATTCCACCGTATGTATATCGACAATAACCTTTTCTCCTTCTACCACCATACTGGTCTCGAGAACGAGACGTTTCCCACGCCACACGGTCAAAATGTGTCGCAACTCATCAAAGAATCAAGAAACGCCCTTCACCTCGATGAAGTTTACGGATGTGCGCCTCGGGACTTGTGGATGTCGCGCGTGAGATATCCTAGTGACGAAAGTATCTACACTTGGCTGGAGAAGGAGGTCCTTCCCCAGTCGTTAAAAGACGAGTCACGAGCAGGGAAACCAGCCCTTGCGGTGGTCAATACTGGAGCTATCCGGTTTGATATATTCAAAGGCCCCTTTACCCGGGATACTACCTATATAGTGTCACCATTCACAAGTGGCTTCCGCTATCTGAGAGACGTTCCTTACGACAAAGCAAGGTTGGTCGTCGATGTACTAAACAAACAACCGCAGATTCTCAACACCGCCAATATACCTTTCTCGGGGAGACCGGTTCCTTGGACCCTCGCACCTCCGGAACAGTCAGCATATGCTCAGGATGTAGTCGCAGAGGATGATCCGATGCGGCCCAGCGAGGTACAGATCCAGCTGCCAGCCGATCAAGCCCCTCTATCAAGCCACAGTTCATCCAGGCCGCCTCTCGTCCCTGGATACACCACAGCCGACGATGGTGGAACTGACGGTGATGACACTATCCATTCGCCCATCTCGTTTTACCGGGTGCCGAACTGCATTCAGTCATTGATATCCTCGGACCCATCCGCAACTCCCGACACAGTGGACCTCGTGTACATTGACTTTATCGAACCTTATGTCGCTCTGGCGGCCAGATACGCGGGCCTGGATGTTGACTTTCCAGGAGAGAGCGATGTGTACATGCCTTCAACAAGGTTGACCGACCTCATTTTAGACTGGATCAAAGAGAACTGGGCTTGTGACAAGGAATAAGCACTCGCATACTGTTCCTTTTTCCCTTGCTTTTTGGACATGATTAGCTTGTGATGTAGATCTGGATCCATCCTGCGAATAATACTGGAACTATCACAATTATGATACATTTTGACAGACATACAAGAAACGTTTAGTCGCCGCCCACATACTTAAGCAAGCCCTTTCCACTGCGGAAGCCACTCATAGTCTCCTGCACGCCAGCGGCGAGCTCCGGGCCTTCGGTCTCCCAGCTCCATTTGATCTCTTCTACAGGAATGTCCTTGAATTTGCCCGCACGGGTCAACTCGAGCACGTCATTGATGGTGTTTTCTTTGAGCTGAGGGTGCTTGTCTCCCCACTTGCTGACCCAGAACCCCTCAAAGACCAGGTTCTTGAAGATCAGAAGCCCCGACGGCAGGGCCACTGGCTGCTTTGACATGGCACCGTACGTAACCATATGAGAGCCCGGCGCAAGCGTCTTCGCCAGCGCAGTGGCGTTCTTGCCTCCGACACAGTTCAGCGCCAGGCGGATGGGTTCCTTGCCTTGGCGGGTGAACTCGTTCACCATATTTCTGAACTCGCCGGAAAGCAGTTCAGCCTCCGTGACCACCGCCGTTCCACCTAGGTCGAGCATCTCTTTCTTCAGAGCCTCAGTCTCTTCGGGCGTCTTCCTCTCCCGAACGACGTTGAGCGTCTTGATGCCCCACTCTCGCGCCAGCTGGATCGCGGCGCGTCCGACTCCGCTGTTGGCGCCGTTCTGGATAAGCCATTCCTCTCCGGAACGCATCCAGTCCCACTGACAAAAGTCCTTGATCATCCGGTACGCAGTCACCGGGTTCACGCTGACCGTACTGATCTGAAGGGGAGTCAGGCCCTCCTTGTTCTCGATCTTGATCAGCTGCGATTCGTCGAGCTGGGCGTGGGTACGCCAGGTGCCTTGGCCCGTCTTCTTCATCACCACCCAGTCACCCTTGCTCAGATTCTTGACTCCGGAGCCAGTCGCAATGACTTCGAAGGCACCTTCGTTTCCTCCTACTGCCGAAGGCTCCTGCGTGCCCAGCGTATTCAGAAATGGCGGTTTGCTCGGATAAACGCCTTGGATCTGGTTCACATCGGCCGGGTTGAGCGGCGCAGCCAGGAGCCGAAGGTTGACCTGCGTTCCGTGAGGCGCAGAGATTGAGTGAGAATGAAGACTGTCACGTATTAACTAAACTATCCCGGTTACTCTCCGGAAGTAAAGTCACATACCGTAGGACATCCTTTGGTTCCCCGTACTTGGAGTATATCAGCGCCTTCGATTGCGTGTAGCCATACACTGAAATGTACCGACGGCCCCCCAGCGGCAGAGGCGATGCAGAGCCCCGGAGTCTTAAGAAGAGAGACGACGCATTGCCGCGGGACGTCGCCGCAGCAGAACGAGCCACACCACGAGTAAACATGGCTCACCGGTAAGAATGGCGAGTTCAATTAGCGCAGTGGAGGAAAAGTGAATGCTATAGAAGGGGAGTTTTGCAGAAAGGAGGGAGTTGAAGGAGGAGAAATGCGCAGAGCTATGAAGCAATGGATGGGACATGACGTCGAAGGTTCCCGCCCGTCGGGCCGACGGAGAACACGAAAACGCCGACTTCGATCGTCTTCTTCACTCTTGGACCGCTTCGCTCCCCTCCGCGCGTCCCCTCCAATGTCGCTCCTGCGCGAAGCTGAGCGGTGTCTCGCCAACCAGACATCCCACGCCGTCCTCAATGCGTTCATCACAACTTTGCCGGCCCCCTCGGGCTCATCATGGCTGGACCGGGTGAAAGATGCGGATCGTCGGCGGGAACAAGGTACGGGCACGGCAGAATAGATCTTGCCCATGGCCATACTGTCTGTGAAGCTAACCATGCGCGCTGTCGCGATTGTCAATCAGGGTGTCCCAAATCCGCGGCTGACGGTCGATTGATCTCCGTCAAGGACAACATATGTACACGCGATCTTCCAACGACATGCGGCTCGGGGATCCTGGACCGATTCTCCAGTCCTTTCAACGCCACAGTTGTCGAACAATTGGAGGCTGCGGGGGCTATTGTTGCGGGAAAAACCAATCTCGATGAGTTCGGTATGGGTTCGCACTCGATCCATTCACGATTTGGGCCCGTCAAGAGTGCGCGCTGCGACGCCGCTGGCGAGGCGCTTTCGGCCGGTGGGAGCTCTGGCGGCAGCGCTGTTGCAGTGGCTACGGATCAATGTTATGCGTGCGTACTTTCTCCTATAGCAGCGGTTTGGCCAGACGGGCCCTAGCTAACTATGGACACTACAGAGCTTTGGGAACGGACACGGGCGGCTCGGTGCGACTTCCAGCCGCGTATACGGGAACAGTAGGCTTCAAGCCGTCGTATGGACTGATCTCGCGGTGGGGAGTGGTCGCATATGCTAACTCACTGGACACTGTTGGAATATTGGGCCACACAACAGCCAGTGTTCGTGGAATATTCGGTGCGTCGCCTTTCTGATTTCCTGCGCGCAGCTACTAAACCCGAGACCCAACGGCAGACATCCTGAACCGCCATGACCCGCGGGATCCCACCAACCTGTCTCCGTTCTCACGCTCTCGGATCCTCTCACATCTGAATTTGCCCACCCTGTCGTCTCGGACAAAAACCCCTCTCACCATCGGCGTCCCCGTCGAATACAACATATCGGAGCTGGCGCCCGCAGTCCGACACGCATGGGCCCGGTCGCTAGAACATCTGCAACAGCAAGGCCACATCATCCGTCCCGTCAGCCTCCCCGCCACCAAGCTCGCGCTGTCCGCCTACTACATTCTCGCGCCTGCAGAAGCCTCGTCTAACCTCGCCAAATACGACGGCGTCCGGTACGGCACGCGCAGCGAGGGTCCCGACAACAGCGGCCGCGCAGATGACTACCTGTACGCGAAGACACGTGGCGAGGGGTTCGGCGCGGAGGTGAAGCGGCGCATTCTCCTGGGCGCCTTCAGTCTCAGCGCCGACGCCATGGATAACTACTTCATCCAGGCACAGCGTGTGCGTCGGCTGGTGCAGCGCGACTTTGACGCCGTTTTTAGAGCCCCGCAGCCGCTGGCCGCGGATGCGGACGGGCATCTCAACCCCGCGGGCGTGGATGTCCTTCTCTGCCCGACGGCCCCTTCGTCGCCGCCGCGGGTGTCTGATCTCACGGCGCTCAATGCGGCGTCCTCGCCGCTGGAAGCTTATACGAACGATGTTTTCACCGTTCCTGCGAGCTTGGCTGGTCTTCCGGCTGTATCTGTTCCGGTGGGCGTCGACGGCGTCGGTGCAGGATCGGCAGATGCGGGTCTCACTGGGATTCAGATTATCGGCCAGTATGGAGATGACGAGCTGGTTTTGAGGGTGGGAGAGGCTCTGGAAGGCCAGAGGTTTTGATAGATGGACTCCTTTTCGTTATGCGCAGATACCCGGCGTAGGTTGTCTATTCGAGTTCTTTTCTATACATGTATTCTTCGACGGTTGAAAGCATAAGGCAATATATATTCCACATGTATGCTATTCCATCCTGGTATCTCAAATGCGCGTATCGCGGTGTGGAATAAATACACTCAATCACATCGTACACACCTAGATGGCAATGAACAGCACAACGCCTGCCAGAAACTAGGACATCTCGACATCTTCATCCACCTGCATGGCATCGGGTGCCGCTACAGGCACTTCGACAACAGGCGTGCCTGAGGCACCGACGCTCTTGCCATCTTCATGGCTGTCGTGAGACTCTCTTCCGTTTCCTGCGTGCTCAGGGACGGCTGCAGAGCCGTTCGTAGCGCCCGCTGGCACAGCAGCTTCATACGCCGCTCCCACGCCGGCCTTGAGCACTTCCGAGCCCCCGACAGCACCGGACCCCGAGGCATCCAGCTCCGCATTGCCAATGACATCGCCATCGACCCCACCCCAAACAAGCATCGCCTCGACCTCATCGACAATGTCTGCGACGATGTCTTCGACAATCTGCTCCGTGAAGCGCTCGCCAATGCCTCGGACCGGCTCGCCGTTCTCCCCCTGAGCGGGGGGATCAAACCACCATGGGCCTTCGAAGCGGCATTCCACGGCCCCGCCGCCGTAACAGCTCACAGCCGGATAGTACCCAATCATGCCGTCATCGGCGTTCTCGCGCTCACCGAGACCGAGATTGTTGGTACCATTTGCGAGTCGACTCGCGGGCGGCAGGAAGGCGTACAGTTCCTTGAATGGGGTTCCCATTTTGACCCCGTTCTTGAAGATTGTGATACTGGAACCTGGGAGCGTACGCAGCGAAGCGTCCTCGCTGTTCAGTGGTGACGGGGGCCCAAAGGTCGGCGTCTCTTTGAGATTGAACGCATAATCGCGTAGCTGTTTTGTCGCGAATACGTTTGACTGCTGCCAGCAGAAATCAGACTTGTAGTGGAACGGTATGCGGTCGCGGATGATATTTGCCGCGACGGGTTCCCCGTGGGACGTGGGCGCGTCGCCATCGGTTGCCGGATCGTACGTTCCCTCAACGACTTTTTTGTGAAGCGAGAGCGGAGGAAGCGTGATCAGCATGCCGATGACATCGCCTTCACGAATCGCTTCCCCTTTGGGAAAGAAGTATTCGCAGCGCATTCGGTTGACCACTTCCCCATTCACGTCTCGGATGCCATATCCGTAGCAGTCGATGCCGACATTAACGTCGAGGTCTGCCTCCCTTCTTGCAAAGCCAAGACGCACATGACCTCTTGATGGCACGCGCGAGTTGGAGTTTCCATCTGTAGGTGGCTGCTGCGACTCCGCCATCACGCCACTGATGATGCGAGCCTCGTAGTAAAACGTGCCTTCGCGGGCACAGACATTGGCACGCGCCGTGTGCCAGGGTTCATTCGTTGTGACGGCGCGGGCGTCCTTGCTGAACAAGATTGCGGCGGGTGAATCCTCGAAACTGAAACGAGCATGGTAAGGCGGGACGTCGGTCTGGCGATATTTGATATGCGGGAAGCCGGGGTCGGCGATGGCGTAGCTGTAGCGGAACCCGTTCTTGTTCGTGAGCTTGTCGACTACCTCATAGAAATCCCAGCTTTGGCCAAGGGCGTCTGTGGCCTTTCGGGTTACGAAGTTCAGTTGGCGAGGCTGTGGGGGTAATAAGTCGGAGGACCTGGGCTCCGCAAGCAGGAGAGGACGGAGAATGCTCAGTTCGGAGCTTGGTAACGATACATTTTGCGCCACGGTTGCACGCTTCTTCGGAGGCGCGGCCTCCGGGTCCAATCCCTTGGCTTCACGCTTTTTTCGACTGTCACGTTTGTTGCGCTTCGACCTGGCGCTGTCTGCCACGGATGCATTGCTTGGAGGGGCGGGGGAGGATCGCGCGTTCACATCTGATAAGGGGCCATTGGGTAAAGGGAGGTTTGTTGGCGGTAAAATGGGAGAGTTGATATTGGATGATGGGGCGGAAGATCCAGCGGGTTGTGTCGACGCCATTATGGGAGGGTGGCAGAGGTTCGAATAGTAAGGTGTGTTTCCCGACAGTTTGAGTCGTTCGGGTAGATTATGCGCAGTCGATCTGTCAGGAGAGGCGCTCTTGATTGATACAGTAGACGCGAGATATCAGACAATTCGGTAGGGCGTCACAAGGATTCCTTGCCCGGGGAAGGTCTCAACCAGGGAATGAGATAGTCTTAAATGGAACAGCTCTGAAACAGAAATAATGTTAGAAGGCAGCTCACAAGAACATTGAGAGAAATTATCAATAAACAGGTCCAAGTCCAGAGCTTCCATCAGCTATTGCACGCCAATTGAGACAAAGCAGAAGGGAAATACGAGCATCCAGCATGCATGAAGGTAAACTCACGGGTTGTCCAACGAGGAACAGTCGGTGCCAACCGGACCCCGAATATATTGCCAGACACAGGTTCCTATTAACGGAGTAGATATCCGATTCTGATCAAAGCAAAGTAGTAAGACGTAAACGCATCGTACATCCGAATGACCAGAGAGCTTGAACAGTGATGGAGTCGAAGGGAGCGGAAAGCGATGAAGCTCCGTGAGAAGGCGGTCAGGGCGTATTTGTCCCGCAGAAAGCCCGCGGAGAGAGTGGATCGGGACAGGAGGGGCAGTCAGGCGGTGAGCTCTCTCATCCAATGGCCGCCATGGGATCCGAGGCGGTCAGCAGAGAAAAAAAATTGGGATGGTTTTGCACGAAAAGTCGAGATCACCTGATCTTGAAATTTACACACTTTTCGCCGACCTTATCGAGAGCAAAAAACAGTTAAATACTTTGGCATCTCGCTGCTCGGTCCTTGTGGCTTCTTTCTACTATATCTGAGGCATCCTTGGGACATACTCCATTCGAATATTCAACCACCTTTGCTCCCAGGAACCTCAAGCGACAACGCCCACCATGCCGAAGGCGACCACTCCACGCTCCGCCGCTGCTACACGCAGACATAATCCCCTGGCAGAGGATATCCTGACAGGGGGTCACCTGCGGACGCAACCCAGCAAGAAGAACAAGCGCAAGTCTCGCGCCGAGGAGGACCATGAGGATGGCGAGCGATTTATTGATGCGAAGATGTCCCGCAAGATTTTACAGATTGGGCAGGAATTGGCCGATGAAGATGAGGCCGAACAAAAAGCTGCTCGGGGTCAGACCGGGGAGAAGGTGAACACTGCGTTCGATTTCGAGTCTCGGTTCGAGGACGAGGAATTCTTGTCGGACGACGACGAACGGTTCAAGGACGATCAGTGGGAAGACGAGGAGGAAGTTGAGGAGGTGGTATGTTTTATCCCATGTTGCATTTACATCACCCCGAAGGTGCCTAACTCATGAAATAGGAGATCGACCCGAATGATCTCGATGTGTTCAACAAGTTTATTCCCGGTGATGACGGAGATCCGATCTTCAATCCTCGCCAGGAAAGCGCCGGTCAAAGCACGAATTTAGCCGATCTTATTCTAGAGAAGATCGCGGAGCACGAGGCGAAGCAATCAGGAGACTCGGGGCCGTTCATCCAGGGCGGCGGACTACCAGAAGATGCTGTCCAAATCCCGGCCAAGGCGGTCGAAGTATATGAGAAGTACGGCTTTCCCCACAGCCATGCCACGGTGCCCGTTCACTGCTAATGAGAACCAGAGTTGGTATGATTCTTTCTCGCTATAAATCTGGTCCTCTTCCGAAGCCCTTCAAGATCCTCCCTTCTGTTCCCAACTGGCAGACTCTCCTCGACATTACCCGACCTGAATCATGGACCGCCAACGCGGTCTACGCCGCCACTCGCATCTTCATCTCCTCGAAGCCGATGGTCGCGCAAGAGTTCATCTCCACCGTCCTTCTCGATCGTGTTCGCGATGAAATCCACGAGACCAAGAAGCTTAACGTCCATACCTACAATGCCCTCCGGAAGGCACTCTACAAACCGGCGTGCTTTTTCAAGGGCCTACTGTTCCCTCTTGTCTCGAGCGGTACCTGCACCTTGCGGGAGGCGCACATCGTCTCCTCCGTCATTGCGCGGGTGTCCATTCCCGTTCTGCACTCGGCGGCTGCGTTGCTCCGCATGTGTGACCTGGCCGCTGAACAGTCGCTGAAGTCGCTCGAGAGCACGGGCGCGGTCAATACGTTCATCCGGGTCTTCCTGGAGAAGAAGTATGCGCTCCCCTACAAAGTGATCGATGCCCTGGTCTTCCATTTCCTGCGGTTCCGAGCCGACAGCGGGGAGGACGCGATGATGACGGACGGTCCGTCCAGCAAGGCATACAAGCTCCCCGTCCTGTGGCATCAGTCCTTGTTGGTCTTTGCGCAGCGTTATCGCAACGATATTACGGAGGATCAGCGCGAGGCTCTCCTCGACTTGCTGTTGGTTCGCGGACACAAAGACATTGGACCCGAGGTGCGACGCGAGCTGTTGGCGGGTCGTGGACGAGGTGTGGTGGTTCCGGATCCCGAGAAACAAGGGGCTTTGGACGCTGGAGATGATACGATGGATGTGACCATGTAGATAGATTTCCCCACCGATGATTTGCTGGGACGCCACAAAAGTGCGATGAACATGTTTGGCTCTGCGGTTTGCATATCCATGTTTCGATGACTTGAATTGGGAGGCGTTCTATACCGGGTTCTGTTCTTTGCATGTGATCGCCGCCATTGGCGTGCTCGTTATGAGATTAGTACCGTGAATGAAATTACATAGCCATCAACGACCTCTCGATCAAGGGCTGGGCTGAAGGGGGTGGAAGCGGAAGGCCGTGGCATCGAACGGTCCGCCCGCTCATGCATATTGGCTCGGATGACGCAGCGATCAGCGGTGTCATCAGTCGTCGTCATCGTTGGGACAAGTATCTGGAGCAAGGGAGGTCGGGCCATCGTGTTGATCGCTGGTCTGGCGTGGACGGAAGCGGTGGCTGACTGGGGACGAGACGATCGTTTGCGGCGGGTTGGGAAGGGTCTTCCAATAAACATAAGCAAGGCATTGTAGTGACCCACTGGGCACCCTGAAGAGCCACATGCCTTGATACATTCTGATGTTACTCTAGTGTCGAAATTCCATGAATGAAGGAGCTGGGTGTCAAGTGTCGATCGGTCTGTCGAACAACAACAACAAAGCTGTTGGGTTGGTGGTGGTGGTGGCGGTGGTGGTGGTTTCTTCCAGACGGACGATAGAAGAATATACTATAGATCGGTTCAAGATCGCAATAAAAAACAATCGAGCTTACTCCGCATGGTCAACCGTGCTGGGAACCATGGACATGGCTTTCGCATCCCAGGAAAGCTTTGGGCGGTACCGTGCTACCTGGCCCGTTGCACCGGACATCCCGATCCGTCGGTATGAGCTCCAAGCCAAAGATGAACCTGCGTTTGATGGAATGCTGGGGACAGTTGGCCGGATCTGAGGGTCTACGGGATACTTCGCAGTCGGATGCGATTTGGTATGAGGATCTTTCAGAAGAGTCGGTAGAGAGGAGAAATGCAGGACGGTTGTCCGGGAGAGGATCTAGCCCTCGGCGCCAAACTATGCAAGAGACATTCCGAGTGGCAAACGGGACGATTGGCTCATCGACCTCTTCAGTCCCTGATCAGTCCCTGATTCCTTTCCTGATCCATCCGGCGAGGAGAAATATGCTGAATAGTAAAGTAATATTTGACAGGTAACGCGCTGGGGGATCGGAGATGTCGAGTGTACCGGGTTTTGGAGGACGGATGCGAACCAAACCATGGTTGGTACCTGAAGAAGCCGAATAAATATAGTAGCAACAAGAATAACAACAATTCCTTACTGTACTATACTTGTACTTTACTTACTCTGTCTGGCTTACTCCGGAGTGGCCCAAAGGGGATCCATGAACCCGGACGAGACTTAACCGGCTACTAGTGTTTGTCCGCTCCACCACCGCCTCCAAGGTACAATTCAATTGGCATCGGCCCTCACATGTGAGTTACTGACTTAGTATTGTACACTAAGGTACACTACAGTACACTCTTCTCTTCTCTTCTTTTGTTCCCCCTTTTCCTTCTCTTTCTTTCTTTCTCTCTTTCTTTCTTTCTTCTCTCGCCATTCCTCATCCGTCATTCATGCTCCGTTCCATCCGGGGGAATTGCTATTACCTACCTTTCATATCGAAACCGATCTTCCTCTCAATCAATCTGTTTCATTGCTGCTGAAACCGGGCGGATCATCGTCTCCAGCGAGGCGAATGACAAGAATCAGAAGTACTAAGGTACTTCTAAGAATAATCTCTTCGGGCATTCTCCCGCCCCGCCCCGTGGTATGTGAGGGTCCGAGTCAGACATGACTGACTACCACTAACTAACTAATAGTAACTGGACTAGACTAGACTAAACTAGACTACTATCGAAAAGTCCATCGCCTGATACCCAGGATTCTTTCTTCCTGCTCAGCCGCCTTCACCACAACCTCTCCTCCGTCGATGCTTCTTCTCCTCTCGACCAGCCCCTAACCACCGGTATCTCTCCTAATCCCCGTCTAGCATTCTTTTTTTCCCTCTTCTCTTCTCTTCTCTTCTCTCTTTCGGCTCGTTTCCCTGTTCCACAACGCGCCCCACTGGGTCCGTACTCAAGGGATTTACCTTACCGCAAGGCCCAGATTCTTCCCCCCCCCAAAACAATTCCCGTCTCCTCTCCTCTACCGCCGTCTGCGGTCGGTCCGTCTTGTTTATGGGAAACCAGTAGCGCCGTTGACCAACCGAGTTTCGCATTAGGCATTGGCGTCTGGGCCGCTTCCTCCTTTTCCTTCTCATATTAACCTTGTTTTTCTTTTTTTGCTTCTCTCTTCCCTTCGCTTGACCCCCTGCGGATCGGAGCTCCTACTGGATCTCGTTAATCTCCCTGGAAAAAAAGTGGCGCCCGGGTTCGCTAGCTGAGCTTGCGGCCCTCTCTCCTTGAGCCACCATGCCAATTAAGCTCCCCAAAGGTTTCACTCGACGGAAGTCGGCTGGCAATGCTTTAGAAGAGATCGAAGCCCCGCCGCAGTCATCATTTCGAGTCTTTGAACGTCCCTCTGTCGATCGCAAGTCCGTCAGTGAAGGCAACCTTCTCTCCAAGCGGTTCAGCGAGTCCACCCAAGAAGACCACGATAACATCTTCGCCGCTCCGGAGAACCAGCCCAAAGGGAACTTGTACGTCCTTTCTCTCTTCCCTGCCCTGTCTAAGCCCGTCTTGCTTCTAACCACCATCGCCTAGTGGTCGGGAGTCGTACGAGAACTCGCCGTCGGTCCGTTTCAGCTCAGGCTTTCCCCGCCGTTCGACAGACGGGCCTGTTCAGGCCGAGACGCACTCGCCACATTCGCGGAACCTGCACGATATCCCAATTCCACCCATCTCGGGGGCATTGCGTGCGGCCGGTCGAACTTTTTCTTTTCGGCGGTCGATTCTCCAAGGCCTCTGCGCCCTGTTCCCCCACCGCATCAGTCTACCCCGGCTCGGAACAGACCCATGACTCCCAGCAGCAATAGCACGGCAACGCCTCCCAAGCTTCTGGACACCGACTTAAACCTCGGCCAGCTCGGAGACGACTTCCATAACATGTTCGACGGGGTGGGGAAGCAGGAGACTGCGGCACAGCAACCGTCGACGCGAAACAGTTCGGTGGATTCGGTACGGCTCTTCGAGCATGATTATCCGTTCGCCATGGGGTTGATGCTAACGCAACAAATACAGTATTCATCTTCACCTCCTGAGAAACCCTCCCAAGTGAACGGAAAGGCGTCTCGCCCGACCCCCATCAGTACGGATCGCTCGAGAGAAGTAGAACCATCTCCATACTCGTGGGACAGCCAACACTCCGGAGAGGGTCTTCTAAACACTGTCGAGTCGCCCCAAGCCACGTCTACGACGCCCCCGCCGTTCGAGCGGCGAAAATCATTGCCCCTGTCGAACCTCCCTTCCACCACCAACCACCGTTCATTGGAGAGGCCGAACGCGGCTGCGGATCGGGGGCTGAGAAGAAGTGTATTGTATGCCAGCAAGCGGGACTCCGCCGCTGTGGAGGATGAGGACGCCCGAGTGGTAAGGCAATCTCTCTATTCCAACCGGAGAAGCTCGCAACCTCTGGTCATGTCCGACCACGATGATTCAGACGATACGCCGCTCTTTGCGAACGTCCCCAAGACCACCGCGGCCACCGAGGATCCGGCGGACATCTCCATCGCAGCCCATGCCCAACTGGCAGCCCAGTATGAGGAGCGACAACCCGCGACAACGGCATCGGGCACCAAAATCATGACGCCCTCCCAGTTCGAGCATTACCGACAGCAGCAAGCCCTCCGGCGGTCGAACAGCGATGCGTCGTCCAAAAGCGACGATTCCGCGGGCAGCGACTTTGATGAGGAGGACGAGGCCGAGAAGAACCGTGAAGCCGAGAGGCTCCGACGGAAACAGGAGGCTCATCTGTCCGTCTATCGGCAGCAAATGATGAAGGTGACGGGTCAAGAGACCCCCGCACCGTCGCTTCGGCCAGAACTGGAACGTGCGAGTAACAGTGCTCCGAATCTGACGGTGCCGTCGATCAAGGGCGGAAACCAATCCAGCAGTGGCAAGAGCAGCGAGGGTGGTGATGACGACGAAGAGATTCCGCTGGGCATTCTGGCCGCGCACGGGTTCCCAAACAGAAACCGGCCTCCCACCCGGCTCAACCCCTCGAGCTCGATCCCGAACCTGCGGGCTTCCTTTCACCAGCCTTATATATCGTCTGCCGGGTCCGTGGCTGGCCACGAATCCGGGAACCGCAGCAGCTTGCCCGTGTTTGCCCGCAACCTGCCCCGGGACCCTTACTTCGGAGCGAGTCTGGTGAACCCCTCCAACCGGGAGTCTCTTGCCCTGGGAGGAGGGGCATCGGTCTATGGCGGTCCGCCGGCCACCGCCGGTCCTCCAACATCGTTGCCTCCAGGGGGTTTAGTTGGTGTAATTGCCACGGAGGAGCGAGCAAGGGCAATGCGAAGGGGAAGCCCGAACACCCAAGCCATGTACGAATATCAAAATGGCATGTCCGCAGCCCCCATTCACCCAAGCGGCATCCCCCGGCCTTACACCATGATGAACATGAACCCGCCGAATATGCCCGTCCCGCCCGCCCCAGTTTCGGCGACGGAACAGGCACAGATCCAACTGTCTCAGCAGATGTCGAGTATGATGCAGATGCAAATGCAGTGGATGCAGCAAATGATGCAAATGCAGGGCGGGCAAGGCCCTCCCCCATCGCTGATGCCTCCGGGAGCCTTTCCTCCCACTATGCCGGCCATGAGACCAAACTCGATGCCCACGGCTGCATCGATGCACAATACTCCGGCGGGCTACCAGAACGATCAGCGGACGCTCAGCATGCTCGATCCGAACGCGTCTTCTCGGCTGAACAGCCCATATGCTTCGGCGAATCTCCGCCCTGGCACCCCCGCCGGCCAAACTTATGCCCCATCGATCGCCCCGTCGGAACGCAGCAACGTTGGCATGGCTTCTCGGTATCGGCCCGTCTCGACTGCGCCGCCGGAAGCTGAGTCCTCCTACCACTATGTGCCCAAGCCATGGAACGACGAAAACATGCGGTCCTCGCCCTCCATGACGTCGCGTCCGAGCAAGCCCCCCGTCCGACCCATGTCCGCCGCGGGCAAGTCGATTCTGACTGTCCGGAGCCCTCCCGCTGGGCCCGACGACGATGACGACGATGAAGGCTGGGCGGAGATGATGAAGAAGCGGGAGAATAAGCGCAACAACTGGAAGCTGAAAAAGGAGACCTCCGGATTCGGCGATGTGCTCAACGCAGTACATTAATGTCTTAGTAGATAATTTGTCGACGCCAACTCTTATTTGGTTTTGATCTCCAGCCCTGTGATGAATCGTTATTTGTTATGCACATATGGTATTGTTCCTTCATTTCTACTACCACAGCCTTGCAGGAGCACAGGCACGCATGTTCTGGAGAGTCGGGAGTTGTGCCGTTTGTGATTTGTTCCATCGTGATGTTGAGCAGGCCCTTATTCTGACATGTTGATATCGGAAGAGAAGATCTGCATAGTAGGCCTTGGCTCTTGCTTATTGGTGTTGTTTTGATGTTGGCTTTTGGGCGACGGATGGTGGAGTTTCCGGTGGGCATGTAGTTATATTCTCATCTGATTTCAAGCAAAGGGTGTGATGGTCTGCATTTAATATCAAAGTGATATTGACTCTTTTCTCCATTCCACTGCTTACCTCTTCTACTTGACCACCTGTGTCTGTGGATATATCATATTGATCTCTATTACTTTGCCAGTCGCTGGATGATATCCATCGCTTCTTGTCGGCATTTCTGCACAATCTCGGCGGCCGGGATGGTCTCTCTCACTAAGCCAACGCCCGTGCCAGCGTACGTCGTCAATCGACCGCCGGGCCCCCATCCCAAGTCTCCTTTTTGCAGCTCACTCTCGTACCGCGCGCGGTTCTCTTCGTCACTCATGCCCCGCTCCACCGCATCGACGTAGCTCTGATTGATGACTCCACGCCCATCGTACCGCTCCGGCCAGCCATAGATGCCTCGCACACGGTCATAGACAGTAGAACGCACCGTGCTGACCCCGCCATCCGCTGCACTGAGAACCTCCGCCCGGTAGCCCTGCGCGATGTTCGCTTCAGGCGATGCCAGAAAGCGGGTGCCCATGACGGCGCCCGAGGCCCCCTAGCGCCTGCGACGCCGCGATCCCCCGTCCGTCGACAATGCCCCCCGCCGCCCAGGAGCGGGATGTCTCCCATCTGCCGGTCCTGCAGGGCGTCGCGCACCTCGGGGAGGAGAGTCACGATCGACGCCGAGCGCGCCAGGCCGTGCCCGCCCGCATCGGAGCCTTGCACGACCAGCACGTCCGGCCGCAGCGCGCCCGCCACGGCGACCGCCTCGCCCACCGTGCCCACCTGCACCCAGATCTGCGTCTGGCCCGGAGCGACGGCGCGCACGCGGTCCGCCCACGGCACGAGGTCGTGCGGCTGGGACTTGGGGCCGAAGAGCCATACCGCGCAGGGCTTGTACTTCTCGATCGCGGCGAGCGAACGTTCCAGGTCGGCGCCCCAGTTGAGGAACCCGACGCCGAGGGGGAGCACCCCGCGCTCCTGGTACGTTTGTCGCAGACTGCACGTTGGCTGGGCCACGAGTCGCGCGGCTTCTTCGAGGTTACGCTCGAGGCTCGACACGTCGTAGCCCGCGGCGAGAAACCCCAGGCCGCCGGCGGCAGATACCGACACGGCTAGTGCTGGGAGGGCGATGTTCAGCATGGGCGCGCATGCTATCAGGGGAGATTTGGTCCAGGGATAGAGCGTTTGTAAGAGGGCTGACGACATAAAGATGATTTCTAGATATAATGGATGGAATAGGAGTTGGATAATAACGCTAGAGGATATGTATATGGGACGTCCCTCTTTCTCTTCTTACAATGGGTTTTTGGAGTTTCATGAAGCTAGGCATGTCGTGAGATGCGGAGTGAAGTGTGGTGAGTATAAGGGCATTTGCCTCTTTATAGTAATATCACGTGCTGTCACGGGACCAGCCGAAGGATCATCATTCATCCTTGCCCTCCATCATGTTTAGTTCTTATACACTCTGCCATCCTCACCATCATATCGGCCTCATCCTCTTATCATACTCATTACTTATCTTCATCATCCTCAGGTCATTCGGCGTTATCACTACAGTGTCATCTTGGCGCACACGCTTCCTCGTTGGCTGCCTAGCTCCAGATATCAACCTCTTTGACATATTGTCACAGTCTATCACCATCTGAAACAGCAATTCAACAAGCCGGATTGTGAGCAAATCGCCATCTTCCAGACATTTTGCTCTGTCTCGGACTACTTCTTTCTTGGATATCACCGCGGGGACAACGAAACCCGCTAAACTTATCATTCCTTTCACTCTGTAAAAATGAACGCCCCAGATCGGTAAGACAGAATGCTTTCTTGATGTTTAGATGCTGTTTGATATTGCTTCTCATGTCTTATCGTTCTTGATGCGGCGAGATGGGGGTGTGGGTGTACGTGGGAAAGAGCAACAGTGAGGCCACTGCTGCAGTGAAGACCTGCGCGCAACTCCCAACAACGCTGCCAGCTTTTCTTCTCACCCTCCCCGTATCACCCTCTGCCCTCCTGCTTTCCTCTTTATCTTCCCAATCCACGAATCCCTCTCCAAGCCTGTCAAAATGGCAGAAAGGTCTTCCAGAGAGCCTTTGCTCCCGGCTGAGGTCGCCTATGCGCGCTGGGTCCGCCCCAACGGTAGCTACCCCAACAGGCGTCAGCCATCAGTTGAGTTGAACAATGACCTGCCGAGGTTTGCATCTCCATTTGAAGGGGCTCTCATTCTGCTTGGCTTTCTGTTCTGCGCCACGTACTCTTCGGAAGATTCAAATGACTGACTAGACGTCGCAATCCAGGTACGAGTCGTTTGTGCTCGCCAGCGGCGAGAACAAGGTGGAAATGGAGATTGACACTCGTAAGTCGACTCCCATGGGGTAGCTTTACTGTGATAACTAATGAGTCTTCAGGGATCCCCTCCTCGGCCATCTTCACTTTCAACAAAGAGGATCACACTCTGGGAAACCTACTGAGCTCCCGCCTCCTGCAGAGCTCCCATGTTCTCTTCGCTGCCTACAAGGTCCGCAATACCTCATTCTCCATCCTGTGTGTCTGCATCTAACAGCAGCTCCAGGTCCCTCATCCATTGGATCCCAAGTTCTTGCTCCGCGTTCAGACCGACGGTGAGATCACTCCCAAGGATGCCGTGATTGCAGCCTGCCACGAGCTGGTCCGTGATCTGGGTATTCTCTCCCGCGAATTCACCAAGGAGTACGAACTGCGTAAGATGGTGGGCGCCACTCAGCAACAGAATGGTACCCAGGATGGCATTTAGGCCGGTGACTGTCAGGACAACTCTTGATCCATTCAGGCGTGCGATGGTGGTTTTGATATCGCTTTCTTGATGCATGTACGCACTGCTGGTCATGTGCACATGCTGTTTTGCCTTTCTTTTGTCTTGCGATTGTTCTCCAGCTCCGCTTGATTGAATTGGGAATCGGATCGGCCTGGAGCGGGACCGTTGGCTTTCTGCGGCATGAACATCGTTGAAATGAGACCATGGGACGGAATGACCGATGCAATTGCGTGCCGGAGTTCAGGATGTATTCGGATACTACTAGATTCCATAATCACAAATGACTCCAACGTGTATGGTTTTGTGGATGTTCAGGTTTGTGTTGTACTTGTACTTGGTAGAACCAGGAGAAGCATGGGCGGGGTTACATAAGCAGTGCCTGAACCGTCATTGCTGCTGCTGCTGCTCCGCCTCCTGATTCTCGGCGGCCTACATCTTCCCTCCCTCCAACTTCCCTTCCCCCTCTATCTCACCTTGTCTCTCTTTCATTTTCCTTCCTTCATTGTTCCTTGTGTTTCTCCTTGCCTTGCTCCATTGCGTTCTTCTCTTTCCCATGCAAGCGCATCCTCTCTAATGTATTCTTCCTCAAATTCCTTCCTGGGCGGCGCCAACAGCGCTCGCCCCGGACAACAGCCACCTTTTATGCAACAGCAGCAGCAGCCTTCCTACTCGCAATTCCCTCCTGGCCAGCAACAACAGCCACAGCCTACGGGCTTTGCTCCTCAGCCTACAGGATACGCGCAGCCTCAATTGTCGAGCTTTGGCTCTCAGCTGCAACCCCAGCCCACTGGGTTTCCATCGGGACAGCTCCAACCCCAATTCACCGGCTTCCCCGGTGCCGCGCCCCAGCAATCGCAACAGCCTCAGCCCACGGGATTCCAGCCTCAGCAACCCCAGTTCACCGGCTATCCTCCCCAGAGTCAACCCCCGCAGCTTCAGGTGCCCGCGGCGACCGGCCTTCCGTTGAGACCAGCCCAGACGTCATCCGAGATCGCCAACTCGTTCCGTGATGCATCCGGTGCCGCTCCTCCGCCGCCGCCCAAGTCCTCCGGCAGCAAAATCCCCAATATCCGTCTGTCCTTCATCACGGCGCAAGACCAGGCCAAGTTTGAGCAATTGTTCAAGTCGGCAGTTGGGGATAGCCAAACCATGAGCGGTATGTAGACCTTCGTTCCCCCGGCCTCTGACGGGTGAAAGTAGAGCCATGGGACCCCCCGCTAACGGTCTGTATGTAGGTGATAAGGCGAGGGAACTTCTCCTACGGTCGAGGCTCTCGGGAAGCGACTTGTCGAAGATTTGGTGAGTAACCTTCACTGCTCGAAAACGTGACTCGTCTGACTGATGTTGTGCCAAAGGGTACTGTCGGATTCCACCAAGTCCGGTCAACTGTTCTTCCCGGAATTCGCCCTGGCGATGTATCTTTGCAACCTGCGACTCACAGGCCGCGACTTGCCTGATGCCCTCCCGGAAACGATCAAGAACGAGGTCTCCAGCATGGTGGACATTATTTCCTTCCAAGTCCCCGACACCCAGCCCGAGCCGGTTGTCCGAACGAATGTCCCGAATTTTGACGCGCCCCTAATGGAGAACAAACTGGCTCCCCCCGCTCCTCAACAGCCGCAACCGCAACAACCGACCAATTCCCAGCTTCTTAACCAGCTTACTGCCCAGCCAACTGGCTTCCTTTCCCAGCCGACAGGCCTCTCGCCCAACCAGGCTCCTTTCGGCCAGCAGTCGAACCTTGCGCCGCAACCCACTGGTCTTCCTGGTCAGCCTCAGCAACAGTCCCTACAACCGCAACCCACTGGGTTCATGTCGAACCCTCAGCCAACTGGTTACAGTGGCCCCCGACCTCCTGTCCCCCCAATTCCCACTGGATATGCGTCGAACCTCAGTCCTTCACAGACCGGAGGCATGTCGGGTCTGGTTGCACAGCCGACCGGAATCCCCGGCCAATGGGGGTTTGTCAACGCTCCTTCTTCTGGATTGCCCAACATCGAGGCTCTTAAGCAGCAGCTAATGCCCCAACCCGGCCGTGAGGGTGGGTTTTCAACAGCCGGCCTGGCCGGAAACGCTTCGATCCCCTGGGCCATCACCAAGGAAGAGAAGAAGATCTATGACGACCTCTTCCGGGCATGGGATGGTTTCCGCAAAGGCTTTATTGGTGGCGATACTGCCATTGAAATCATGGGACAGAGTGGCTTGAACCGACAGGATCTGGAGCGTATCTGGACCTTGGCTGATCCCAATAACCGGGGACGCCTCAATATGGATGAATTTGCCGTGGCCATGCACTTGATCTACCGAAAGCTGAACGGATACCCGGTTCCTAATCGCCTGCCTCCGGAACTCATTCCCCCATCCACCCGCAATTTGAACGACTCGATCGGCACCATCAAATCATTGCTATCTCAGGATGCAGAATCCCGGAAAGCTACGGGCGCGTTCCTGCAACCCCAGAAGACTGGCGTGAGTTATCTGAAGGAGCATTCCTTCCGGGGCGGTGCAGTTTCACCCGGAGTTGGCCGCAAAGATGCGACGTTATTTAAGAATGACGACCAAGCAGCTGCCGGATATCGCTCCAGTGCTCGTCGTCGTGTCGGCAACAATGGTCGGACCCCGTCTCCTGCTGCCTCGTCGCAGGCCTCAGAGGATGAGTTGTCGGTCGAGCAGTTGAAGAAAAAGATCCGTGAGACCCAAATCATGCTGGACGCCGTCGATTTCCAGGACGAAACCCGGGCGGAGGAAGATGACGCGCTCGATCGCCGAGACCGTCGGGAAGCAGAGAGCCTCATGGATCGGATCCGACGTGTGCAGGACGAGATCGACACTCATCCAAATGCTGCCTTCCGTAACCTTGACAACGGGGCGGAGCGGCGGTCTCTGCGTCGTCAGCTGCAGGCCTACGAGGACCAGGTCCCTCAGGTCGCTTCTGAAGTCCGTCGTGTCGAGCGAGAGATCGCCGAGGCGAGACTCGAGTTGTTCCGTTTGAAGGATGCCAAGGCCCATCCTAACAGCGCTCTGAACATCGTTGGGACTGGCCCTGGTGGCACAGTCACCGAGGCAGATAGGATCAAGGCTCGTGCCCGTGCCCGTATGCAAGCTCGTGCAGCCGAGCTTGCTGGAAGACCGGCTCCTGCCACGCAGGATGATGAGGGAGCCGCCGCTCGTCGTCTTGAATCTGAGAGCGCTAACGTCAAGGCTGATCGAGAAAAGAACGATGCTATGACACGCGACGTCGAGGATAGTGTGAAAGACTTCGCCCGGAGTCTGGAAGACAGCCTCAAGGATGTAAGCGAGAACTCCACACGCGAACACGAGAAGCGCCGATGGGAAGATGCCCTGGGCGTGGAGGACGTGATCCGCGATTTCATCTATGACTTGAAGCGTAATAGCCGGACTGCGCATATCCGCAAGGAAGAGTATGGCGTCCCCCCTTTCCCTTGAATCCACTTGTACCATGTAGCTAACTACCTCCAGAGCGTCAAGAGCATCGCCTTCTCAATCGCAACAGTCACGCTACGACGAGCCGCCGGCCGTCCGACCTTCTCCGCCACCATCCACGGGCTCTACAGGATCATTGCCCGGCACTACTCACGAAGATCGTGTGGCCGCCGCGAAGGAACGCGCACAGAAGCGTATCGCCGAGCGGCTGGCTGCCGCTGGACTTAAACCCCATAGCGAGGCGTCCGAAACTCTCGTCCAACGCCAAGAGCGTGAGAAGAGGGAGCGCGAGGAACGGTTGAAACGTGCCGAGGAAGAAGACGCGTTGCGAGAACAGGAACGACAGCGCCGTCTGGCTGAAGAACGGGGCACTCCGGCCCAGCCCTCCACAAAGCCTATTGGCAAGAAGCCACCTCCAGCACCACCTTCGCGGCGGGCTCGGACAGACAGTGCTGATCAGTCCGAGGCCAAGAAGGCGGCGGATGAAGCGGCCAAGGTGGAACAGACTGCCAGAGAGCAAGCCATTCGCGAGGAGCAACAGGTGCAAGAAGAGGAGACGAAGCGCCTAGAGTAAGTGTTTCCCTATTTGATTTCCTCACACTTGAAGATACGCCACCCTTCTTCTCACATCTCATGCTTACGCTTTCCTGCAGAGACGAGGCTAGACAACGCGAGGAGGAGTTCATGAAAGAAAAGGAGGCACAGGAGGCTCGCCTTCGTGCCCTCCAGGAACAAGTCCAGCAAGGCAAGATTAAGAAACAAGAAGAGAAGCGTCGGAAGGAAGAAGCCGAGCGCCGCGCAAAGGAACAGGAAGCCAAACTCGCCGCCCAACGCGCAGAACTCGAAGCGGCCAAGGAACGCGAGCGGCAACTGCAGCGGGAGCTGGAGGCTATGGAAGAGGAGAGTTCCTCTGACGACGAAGGTCCCGAATTCGCGACGCCTCGGAATGGCAGCCCTGCTCAGACCGAGGCTCCCACCGCCGAGGCGCCTCCTCCACCGCCCCCTGCCCCAGCTACTGCACCTCCTGTGCCTGCTATTGCGGAACCCGAAGCGCCCACCAGCCCTGCGACCTCTCCGGCCAGCAGCCGCGCAAATCTGAGTCCTGAGGCCGAATCCAAGAACCCGTGGTTCAAGAAGATTGGACAGCCTGCCGACAGCCAGCCAGCTCCTGTACCGCAAGCCGCCACCACTCCTTCTGATACCCACTCAACGAACCCGTTCCATCGCCTCGCACAGCAGCAAGAGAGCACCGCCCCTGCCTTCACCGGATCCGCCCCGTTGGAGCGCAAGACTCGTGCTCGCCCTGAAGATGACGATGACTGGTCTGCTGCCGGATCCGAATTTGATTCCTCGGATGATGAAGATGATCGAGCAGGCGGTGGTAGCGCGAAGCAGCTTGCAAGCATCCTGTTTGGCACCATGGCGCCCCCGCGCCCTCTGAGTGCTATGGACGATAAATCTCCTTCAAAGACACCGACCCCGGTGCAGGAGACTCCGGCACCGGCACCTGAAGCGGACGCCGCACCCTCTGCTCCTGTCGCTGCTCCTCCGCCACCCCCGCCTCCCCCTGTGCCTGCGGCCGCGCCCAACGGTAGCGCCGGCGCTCCTCCTCCCCCTCCACCGCCGCCCGCACCTCCCATGGCGCCCCCGCCGCCGCCTGCCGGAGTTCCTCCTCCGCCAGCGCCTCCTGCTGCCCCAGCTGGAGCCGCTGACCGGGGTGCTTTGCTGGCTTCGATCCAGGCCGGTAAAGGACTTCGGAAGGTGCAGACCAACGACCGCAGTACGAGCTCTACTGCCGGTCGTGTCTTGGATTAGGGTGTGAAGGTTTCGTTTCATCTGGAAGAGTTGGATTTGGTGGGTGGAAGGGTTCTGTTTACTATAACCAATCCGTAGCTAGTTTTTGCATTGAATATATTACTGTTATATTGATTCATCATGCCACTGAGGAAATGATGTCGGTCTCTTTCAATGGATAATGTAGGCAACTGGGTGTTTCTTCAATATTCATAACCTGATACGTGTACACGCCCGGCCGGCAGGAGTCAAATCGCTAAGGAGCAAAACTAGCTAAGACAAGCAGGAAAACCTACTAAGAAAATATTCTATATAGGATCAAGTCACCAGCTCAGCGATGACGTTAGCCAGCGTGCTAACAATCCATAGAATGACAAGACCCCAGCCGATCCGCCGATCCATCCTCCATCGATTCAACGGGACCACGATCAACAAGCCGACCAGGGTGGTCAAGAGCGTTGCGCCGCTGATGACCAGGACCTTGGAGATGGCGATCTGATAGCTGCCGCCGTTGGCGATGATGGTCTCGGGTTTGGCGTTCATGGTCATGTACAGGCCGCCGAGACCGATGCCGAGCAGGATGTTCAGCATGGGGCCGCCGAAACACGCGCTGAGCGCCATAACCGGGTATCCCAGGCGGGCGACGGTGATGTCGGCGACCAGGTCGCCGAGGGAATTGCCCACGGCAAACACGGTCAGGCCCAGGAGGGAGTCGCTGATGTTGAGGATGACGCCGAGGGTCTTGAGGAGGTTGACGACCTCGGTGGCGATGGTTGCGATCCAGCAAATGGCGACGATGAAGCCGACGAAGGCGAGAAAGGGGCGCCACGAGCTGGGGAGTTGCGCGCAGTCGCCACGTCGCGTGCTGATGATGAACGCGCCGAGGCATACCAGGGAAAAGAGAAGCGCGCACAGGGATGGCAGGAGGAGGTTGCGGGCCTGCAGGTCCTCGTCGATGGTCGTCCAGAAGATCAGAGCGGCGAAGAAGGGTCCCGTGAAGAATTGCAAGATGACTAGCCACCGCGCACATTCTCTGGGTGGACTCGAGGTGGTCTCCGCCGCCGGCTGCACGGCTGGCAGTTCCGAGTCCCACCGTCGACGGCCGGGCATGGATTGACTCTTCCTGTTTTGATCCGATGTCTGGTCGACGGAAGCCCGACGGTCCATGGCGGAGAGCAGAGGGCTATCCTCTGGAAGTCGTACGGGAGGCGCACTTGGATTGCCTTCATCTGCAGAGGTAATGACGACCTTGATCGGGTCCGAGGCAGGTTCTTGCTGCATAGGCTCGACGACATGGACAGTGATCGTCAAGAGAAATACGCTGGGGGCGGCAACGAGGCCTAACAATTTCTCCCAGAAGCCTTTCCCTTTCCAATCATCCAAGGTTGGGAAAAGCGTTGGGATAATGGTCTTGATGAACGATAGCGGAAAAGAGCCCCATCGGCTCCTCCGTATCGTAGACTGGATGCTTCGGTCATCAAGAACACTGTCATGAATATGCAGTAGCTCGCTCGGGCTAGGTGCTGGAGGTAAGTGAATACTTGGCGGTCGCGAAGACGTAGCTCCTGGGACATCCAGGAACGGAGGGAACGGACTAGACGGACTCTCCAGTTGGGCAGTCTCGGCATACGTTGTGCCCCGAGGGGACACGTCAAGGGGTGATCGCGATGAAGGTGTTTCGGCCTGGTAGTTGGGGGAATGGAAAGTATTCGGGGGTGCGAGCAAAGTGGGGGTTTGAGGAGCAGTGGTATTCTCGGGGCTAGGGCTGCGAGATGCGTTTGTAGATGACGATGGTGATAACCCTGGATGTGTACTCTGAGCTGCAGGTGATGTAACTGCATCCCGGCCTTCGGCAGAAGGTCGAGTAACCATGACATGGGGGCGGGTGGCACCAGAGTCATACACACTGGTGTCCAACTTTAAGCCTGCCGCATCGTTGGCAGACACGGCTCGAGTCCGAGAACCTGTACCACTAAGAGGGGATAGGCGGTCAGAAGCCGTCGGTCTCCGCGATGATGGATGAGACGCGATAGAGATATTGTCACGCTCTGAATCTGCGTTGTCGGAGTATCTTTCTAGGTTGATAGGCACGTTTTGATGGACGTTGCGGGATCGCTGAAGAGATGATAGCACAGACTGAAACTCGAGAGCACCGACAAGACTCGGTCTGATTGGGTTAAGAGTATTGCGTCTGGTCGCTGAAGGGCGGTAGACATGCATGTTGTCTCGGATTTCAGCCAAGTACCGGTTGCGAGTTTCGTCATCTTCCTCCCGGACTTCGTCGGCATCTTTCCAGGACGGGAAACTAGCCCTTTCCAACATGTCAAAGTCGTGGGTGGATACGCGCGAAAGAAGGTCGGTGGACTCCGGGGCCACTTGAGGTTCATCCTCCTCCTCTTCCTCGATCTCCAACTCCTGGTTTTCTGGGATGTGGAAATGCGACCGAGCGGCAATGGTCCGCTCGTAGACTCGACGCCGTCGCACGATGTACCAGTGCCACGTCACAACCAGCACAACGTAGAAGCAGTACAGGCCGACCATGGTGGCCGCCTCCCATATGTGGAGGTGGCCGTCAGCCAGAAGTAGCATACTGAAACTGACCGCCACGATGAAGTACCCGACATCACGCACAAAGCTCCTGCGCGCGACTTTAAAAGGGCGGACCAGTGCCATAGACCCAGCTACCACAGAGGTGATGAAACTGGCAGCTCCAATCAGCTCTCCGATGGCCAGGTTGCCGCTGTTTGATCTCATGGCAGCAAACGTGGAAAAGACATCGGGACTTCCATTGCCGAACGCAAGAAACGTAACTCCAGTCAAGCTTTCGCTGAGGCCCAAGATACTCGCCAAGGTACTGAGATCGATACAGAGAAAATCGCTGGCAGCAATACCAATAGTGCTGAAGAGCAACGATAGCCATAGGATCAAGATGACGAATGCGACGGGCTTGGCATCGGCCAAGCTGCAGTAGTAGAACTGAAGATAAGAAAACAGGCCATCTTCGCCGTCAAGGCAGTTGGTACGGACAAAGGCGCATTGGTCTTTGGCATTTCGAACCAGTCGGCACTGTACGATGGGACAGATATCAGCATCTATGCTTGCGATATAAGGAAAGGGTGTTATTAGGTATAAAGACCTGGTCTGGAGACTCGTCCCGCCGATGGAGCGGGGAACGTCGTCCACTTTGCCCCAGTGGAACTACACTCTCCCCGGCATGTTTGAGGTTTCCCAAGGACCAACTCAAGAAGGCGAGGCCTGTGAAAACGAAGAGGGCCCAGTAGAAAGGTCGAACGGAGTAGCGAGGCTTCTGGCGAGGGGAGCGGCTCAATGTAGGAAGAAGTTGAGGTCGAGACATGGTGAGAGATGCGCCTGCATCCTGGGCAACAACTGAAGAGGAAGACGCTCACTGCGGGACTCTAACAATGACTCTCCGGGCGCTCTTATGTCTGTGCGGCCAGGTAAGGGGAGGAGAAAGTTGGATGGTTCTCGTAGGCAGACGAGTTGGAGTCGTAAAGCCACGCGCTGATGTCAAGATCATGGAGCTGTCGTGGCTAGTGCGGTCCCATTGGACGGGGCGAGGTGGCTGTGCAGGTGTGTTGGCGCAATGGGATTCCGTTCCCTGGGAGTTGGATTGTTGTATCCACGGGATGGAGAAATGTAAATGAATCCATGGGAAGAGAAGAGAAGAGAAGAGAAGAGAAGTATTATAGCTGGGTATTGATTTATTGCTGGTGATAGAAGTGCAGGTGATGAGATGACAAACGAGTCAGGTGATCTGCGCGAGTGGTCTCTCCGGTTCGCCCAATGTTTTTGTTTGTTGTTGACGGGGAGGAGAAAACCGTCAGGATTACCATCACCAGATTCAACCGCTTCCACGTCGTCTTTCAGCTGGCGGCGCTATCTCTCGCCATCTAGACTTTTATACGACCAACCTGTCGCTCCTCAACACCGACGTGAGCAGCGTGTCTACTCCCCATCGTCGTTCGCTATCGCTGGTGCATCCATCTTTGCGATCCCCTTACTGCTGGGGAAACCATCCGCACAATGCCCCGCGTAGCGAACCCCAAGCATCGCCGCTCCAATGGCGCCTCGACCCCCCATAAGAACTCGCCTGTCAAGTAGGTTCCTTATCGCTTTATCGCATCTCACACTAAACAATAATGGGACTGATAGTAATAGAATCCCCCTCAATGATGATATGGGGGAGAAGGCGGCCCGGATGGAGGCCCGGCATGCTCGTCACGACCGTCAGATGGATCAGATCAAGGCCGCCGTGAAGACACCGATGCCCCCGCGCAAATATACCAGTTATGACCGCGCATCCAGCACAAGTCCCGCCACCCCCCGAGGGTCAGGCCATCGGGGTCGCGAAAGTGATGTTGGCGGCGGTCGAGGCGTTACCCCCATGAAGCGGGTGCCCATCCTCGCCAACTTCGAAGAATGGATGAAGATGGCCACCGACAATAAAATCAATGCGAATAACTCCTGGAACTTTGCTCTCATCGATTATTTCCATGATATGTCCTTGCTGAAGGAAGGCGACGGGGTGAACTTCCAGAAAGCCAGTTGCACCTTGGATGGCTGCGTTAAGATCTATACAAGCAGAGTCGACAGTGTCGCTACTGAAACCGGTAAGCTTCTGAGTGGGTTGGCCGACAGTCGCGATAAGAGAGCTCGTGAAACGGGTGGTGAAGGCGAAGATGGCGATGACGACGATGAAGACGGAGAGGATGGTGGCAGTCGGAAATCCCGGCGTAAGGTGAGTTATATCAAAGCCGTCACTCGAGATCGACTGGCTAACCGACGCTCAGCAAGCGCGATCGCACGAAGCCACCCTTGCTCCCTCCTTCGCCTCGCTGCAGCTCAAGAAGTTTGAGCTGGAGTTTGCGGTAGATCCGTTATTTAAAAAGGCATCAGCAGATTTCGATGAAGGCGGCGCGAAAGGCTTACTCCTCAACCACCTGGCCATCGATTCTCAAGGCAGGATCGTGTTTGACAGCAGCGACGATGCCGCTGAAGGCGGCTCGAAGGACGAGGGCAACACGCGCCAGGGAACGGAAGAACCCGAGCGTCCAGATTCCCCGTCACCCCAACGCGAATCGTCAGACGATGTGTTCGAAGATAATACCGAGATTGATATCGCAAACCTAGCATCCCGCTTTTTTCCCGATCTAGATCGCCTTGAAGGACAGGATATCTGTCCCTCCCTCAAGAACTTCGATCTAGGCGATCCAAGCGGATCATTAGATATCCCCTTCCTGAAGGCACCCGAAGAGTGGAGGAATGAACAAGGCATCGATGACGGTCGTAATCCGAACGATGCCTCCGGGATCATGCTGGATGACGACAACGCAGTTGGGTTCGATGATGACGACGATGGCTTGGTCGGATTCGATCTCAGCGGAGACACAGGATTCGGAGATGGTGGAGAGGCATGGGCTCGCGAGGCAGCCTTGGAGCCGATGCTCAAGGTCCACCGCGTGGATCTGGATGAGGACGAGAACCAGGACGGCGAGGACTTTGACAACGACAATGCATATGCCGTTTCTCTCAACCACCAACCGAGCAACCGTGACCACGAGAACATCCTCAGTTACTTTGATAACGCCTTGCAGAAGAACTGGGCAGGCCCAGAACACTGGAAGATCCGTCGAATCAAAGAGCATGCGGCTGCCAGTACTAACGCGGCACCGAAGCAACGCAAGGAAAAGGAGCCTTTCGAGATCGACTTTGGTGCGCCTCTGGATCCGTCGGTAGCTGAATTGATCTACACACCGGCCAGTTCCAACTCAGCCATCTCTTTGCCGAAAACGCAATGGAAGACAAAGGGCCGCAACCTCCTTCCTGATGACAAACACTTCAACTCCCGACAACTGCTACGCCTCTTCCTCAAACCAAAGGCCAGAATGGGCTCAAAGAAGCTGGTGGGCTCGCGGCAGTTCAACCAGCGACGGCAAGACCAGACGGCCGGTCATGGTGACATGGACGAGGCCTTTTGGGCGAACCACAAAACCGAAGACAATGCGGACGAAGGTGTCCCTGGTGCATATGATGCCGACTTCTTCGCGGATGATGACGGCCTTGCTTTCCCGAACGGCCTTGGTCTGGGCGATGACGACGACGATAACCTACCTTTCGCTGATGCTCGTGAGATGCTGTCGCCGCCCTCGGATATGCCACCAGGCGCTTCGGCGAGCGAGGCTGGCGGAGCCACCGGACTTGCCGCACTCTTGAACATGGTAGGCGCTACGCCTGGTTCAGGCGCGGGCGGCTTTGGATCACAGCTGGTCACTCAAGGTGGTCGCAGGGCCCGGCCAGACTATGTTGCATATGCTCGTGTGGCGAAGAAGGTCGATGTTCGGCGACTAAAGCAGGAAATGTGGAAGGGCATGGGCGATCGGTTGATATCCTCCTCGCACTTTGACGCTACGCCCCGGGCCGACAAGACTGCCAGCCTACAGGAAGACCACCCGATGAGCGACGCAGATGTACCGCCAACCCCAACGCCAGTGAACAAGGACCCAGAGCCCACGCCAGCCAGCCAAGACAACAGCCAACTGCGCTTCACGCAGATCATGAACTCCCTGAAATCCGTTTATGCCCCGGAAACATTGCGAGACATTAGCACATCGTACGGGTTCATCTGTCTTCTCCATCTAGCCAATGAACAGGGGCTCCTGTTACAGAACGATGACGGGACTACAGGCCTAGGCTCGGGGGCTCTCGAGGAGATTTTCGTGACCAAAGACTTGAATGCTGTCATTGAGGAGGGAGCCATCTAGGTGATTATCCGGTTGAAATCGAGTTTTGACGGTTATGGCATGTTCTATGAGGGATGTCCGCATGGCTTAGGGTTAGTTGTCAATTTCTCATGATACCGTACCGGAGTTGGTGGATTTATAATTGGATTCGATTCGACGCTTTTTATTTGGATGGATACTATTGAAATGGTTGCATTTCGTATGACCTGAGGTTTTGAACAGGCTGGGATGTAGATGTCCTTCTCTTTGTAAAAATTGATATTTCTTAAGTTCCTTAATTGACGGAAAAATTATACATGCGGCCCATTAGCTTAGTGGTAGAGCATCTCCCTCCTAAGGAGAAGGTCGCGCGTTCGAGCCGCGTGTGGGTCGAATTTTTGCCTTTTTTTGGTTTACAACACAAACAGAGTCTTTCAATGCGGAGTAGTAAAGCTGCTGGCAGGATTCTGGGGGACAATGTAGTAATTATCGATTTTCTATTGTTATGGTAATTCAGCCTTTGGCGTACACGCACTTGCCTTCCCGGCTGGATATGAAGTTGGGTAACAGTAGGTTGTAAAGTCACCATAACGGTGATGGATTCTCTGATAATAAGTGCAGACCTAAACCAAGGGATATATTGATGGCAACAAAGAACAGCAGAATAAAAAAGGCCAGGTGGAATAGTAGACCACCCACCATGTGACATGTGACATAAAGAAGGTATTAAAGATGGGTCATAACAAGACAGGCGCTTTCTCTGAGAGATCCAATACATCAACACCAAGACACAAGACGCCACCGAAGAAAGCACTGCATTCAGATTCTGCTCGATATACTGTATCTCGATTTACGTACGTTGGTTGTTGATCCAGATGCACCCGAGTCCGTCCATCATTGACGCACATTCTGGGGGAAGCTAGGACTCATCGGACTCGCGTAGGCTGTTGGGATAGGGACGGTCTCGTACGTGCGCTCGCCCGGCGCAGCACCCATGTGCTGTGCAACGGCGGGCGCCGGGACAGCCGGCGCGGTCGACGCAGGAGCGGGGAACGCGTCCTGTTCCATGCGCGGGGAGGCCTGTTGCACGCGGATGGGCGGGGGCTGCAGCTGGAAGGCCGGCTGGGGCTGAGTGGGGGAGCGTGGTGTGGCGAATTGAGTCTGGGGCGACTCGCCGTTCTCCGCCATGGAATGGGGATCGCGGGGCGCCGGGGCGGGCGAGAATGGCGTCTTGGGGAATCCAGGCGTGTTGGGCGCAGACTGGAGACGGAGTTGGGCTAGGTACAGGTCCGAGCGAGCCTTGTCGCGGCGGTCCATGGACTTGGCCAGGCGTCTCTTCGTCCAGAAGCGGTAGAAGACCACGGCGTAGATCAGGATGACCAGAACCTCGATGACGACTTCGATGATGGCGCACACCAAGCCCCAGTCCTGGTGGCGAGTTAGTATCATGGTAAGAGGGAGAGACAACATAGGCGGCTCACCTGTAGACGACACAAAAGGGCATAGTCGATGTCATTGTGGAAGTACTGCTCTCTGGTGTTCTTCTTGCATGACCAGCCCCAGAGGTCCTGGCCATTACCCGTCGACTTGCTGTTCTGGTAGACTGCGGCGGCGACCACCCATATGATCAGACTGAAGGCGAAGGAGCACACAGAGAAAACAGAATAGTAGACGGCGACTTTTTCCGCGCGCTTGTGGCCCCCTTTGTAGTACCCCCAGAACACAAACAAGCAGGCAGCCAACGAGAGGCAGGCCACGGCAAGAAGCAGATACTGAGGCCAGGGGTTTGTCCCCTTAGCCCACGGGGGGAACCCACCTCGCGGTGGGAGCGACTTCGTGGCATGGAAGATAGTCAAAGTCGTCGCCAGGATAGTCAGGACGATCAGGCTGCAGCCAAAGTTCACGAACCGAAGGAAAATTTTCGCTACCCGGACGCGCAGTTTGATCCGCTACTCTCCGTTAGTCAGAGCCCTCAGCCGGTGGCTTAACGTGTCTTGCGGTCACTCACCAGGTCTTGATCGTTCATCTTTTCTGCGGCCTTTTCCTCCTTCTCTACGAAGAACTCTTCGCGAAAGGTCGGGCTGAGAGGGTTCAGAGTCCGCCCGGGAGTCCCGGGGACTTTGAGCGCGCTCTTGAGCGGCGACGTGGGTGGTTGGTGATGCGACACATGCTGAGCGGGATCGTTCGCTGTCACATACCCAAAGCCCACGTCCGACACGTCGGGACGGCCCTGGATGTGGGGAGGGTCTGCGAAGGGTGATCGTCCCACTTGGGTAGGCTCCGTGGGTGAATGCACCGCCGTTGCCTCGGCAAAGCGGGCTGTTCGAGGGCTCTTCAGCGAAGAGACAGTGGAGTCCGAAGAGCTTCGCTCGGTGACGGTATGCTGCATGGTGGATGGCGCCATTGGCGGATGATTGTTCCCACGAAGAATATCAGCCGGTGTTGTTGCTTCGTAGGTTTGGGGCGAGCTGTTCTGGCTCTCGCTCAAGGACGGCATTAGGATGGTAGATTATTGACGAGAAGATGGGGCGATTGAAGAGAACCAGCTCTTGAACTTCTTCTCGTGATGGGGAGTTTGGCAGCTTCGGTTCTGCAGCAGTCTCTACAGATCGCGCGACAACTCCATATGCCCTTGGTGAGTTAGAGGAGGGTCGAGAATGGAGTAGGGAGTGAACCTACCTCGAGGAGATCGAGGTAATGAGTACCTGAGTCCACACGGCGGACTGTCACATCGTCAGCAATGGTCTGGGGCATAGACATAACATTCGCAAGATACGCACGCAATGGAGACCCGTCTCTTAGACACAATGTGCGAAACCAGCGCGGGTTGGACCAAGATATAGGCAGACCACCGGGTACACCCCGAGAAGCAAGACGAGAAAGGCAGAAAACGACAGGAAAAAGGGCTGCGGACAGAGAGAGTGTCAGATCGACCGGCGAGCAGCGTGACGGGCTGGCGCCTCTCATATTTCAACGGGCTCCCGCATCGCCAACCCTGTCTGCTGTCGGGGCCGGAGGGGTCGAGAGGAGCATCTCCTCGAATAGACTTGCATGGCCCGTGTGAACAGACGGCCGGTAAGCGCCCAGCACCCTGCAGAGCAACGCCGCTGGGGACGGTGATTGGGGGGTGTCAAAGCGCCCTCGAGGGGAAGATAGGCCGAGTATGGCGGATGAGTGGACGGCGCTGCATCTTCTCCCCGGCAATCACGGCGCGTGAATATGCACGTCCGGTCACTCGGGCGTCCAATGAGGCGTCTGTATCCCGCACATCATCGGGGATCCTCCAACCAGCATTTCTCTCGAGGCGCTGAAGGAGTTGCCGTGTTTGTGATAGTAGTGTGAATTGTATAGTAGTGTGAGTGAGTGAGTGAGGTAAGTAAGTGTTGTTGTGTTGGGGTTGTGGTGATGTTAGTCATCTGGGGTGGTGACTACCTTGGTGACCAGGTTATCACACTACATATTCTGCGCAATAATCCTTGTTCGTTCGATTGTAGTCTTGATTGCTTCCCAATAGACTGTCGAGTAGTAGTCAAGTCGACCGATAGCCTATCCTCATCGCATACGAAATAGTACCCTCGCAAACTCATAATGACTACGAGAACAGCGACAATGAGACCCGAGTCATACTATTAAATTCGTTGAATTCGGCATGAATCTCAGCTCTCCAGCTGTACACTCCATAGCGTACAACGCATACTCCGTATAGCAGCCCTAGTCAATCCACACCGCCAGCTACTTTCTGAGACTAAGTCGGGGGGATCTCGGTCATGTCAATAAGCTTCTCCTAGTTCATCAGGGAAAATTCTTCGTCTTTGACCGTTGAGTCGCCACCACCGCCACCGATGGCGGTTTGGTTGATCGGCACAATACTGGGTATGAGTACTATGCCGTGATGAAGTCCAAGATCTTGATGGAAAGCGATGAGCCATTGATCGGAGAGATCGATCCTGAGAATCGAATCCTCGGGCGGCCGATGTGGGGCGACCTTCAGCTTGACTCTGGATTGACCCTACAATGGTTAATGCAGTTCATGCAGCATTCAGGTCTCCAAGAGGTAAGGAGAGGTTAAGGTTTGTCAAGGCTGTCCGTAGATAGTCCAAGTATGCACCTACAGAGTAGGTAGTCATGTACTCCGTTGAAGGATCTCGGCAGGTCCTCCGATAAACTTCGTACCTGATGACCTGAGACACCGACCACGCGGTGCGATGTCGCCTCAAGTGTTCGTCGGGATCGACAGGATCATTTCTTCCGTATCACCGTATCTGTTCTGCATTAAGTATAACTACCAGGTGGTAGATTCGGAGATCACAGCATGCTAGCCAATCTCACCACACCTTCGGAAGATTCTGCAGGTGTTGAAGTTATTTGTCGTCGGTCAACGAACGGACCATCTCGGACGGATCGTACTGCATCTCCACCTGCATCTGAGATCATGTAGGCGGATAGAGATAGGAGCTGAAATCTGCAGTAGTAAAAGGGGTTGATCTGGTAACCATCGAGGGACAATAAATGGGTCCAGGGGAGCTCCGACAAGAGTGGCAGGCGGTGGAGAGATCAAGTACAGCCACCCCAGAAGGCCCCGCCGGCGTTCTAGAAAAGCCGCTGTGAATGGTCAGGCGCATGTTTCATCCAGCTTCTCCGCGTCACGATCAAATCGCACACAGCCTCATTTCTCGACTCGGGCGCATTATTGGTGGCTCAACCTGGCGATGCAGAGTGCCTCTCTCGGGCGAAAACTTTGTCTGGTGTGTTCCATCATACCTAACAGAGTAGGTAGCTGATTGGTTTGATACTGTACCCTTGTAGAATTAGAAGGTGTAAAGGTCTTTTCTGTACACGCGAAAGATTCAGTGCTTGCTAACTGGTAAGCTTGGAAGCATAAGATTGTTCAACCTTGGAAAGAAGATACATAAATGCACTGTAGAGTGTACCTGACTATCTATGTGGATGCCTGGTGTAGACGTGGTACCCATGACATCGGAATACCATACGGGAGTGTTACCAATCTGACGTCGGACCGGTAGTGGTTCCGGGCCCACTTTGATCTTGGCGGATCGAGCCGCCTGGCCATCCTCGTTCTTCTTCCTCTTCTTTTCCCCTTCTATGAGGCTTTGAATCTTTTCACTTTTCTCATCTCGATTAACTAGAAGATACTTTCTACCGTGATTCTCTTCAACCTGATCATATATCAACTCCCCGTCTCGGGTCTACCTACCCAGGTACAACTCCAACCAGCCACACCCTGTTGGATGGGTTCGTGCGGTTGATTGGCCCTTTTCTTACCATACAACGCCTCCACTCGTACCATACAGGTACGCCTTTTTTTCTTCCCTGCCTTTCCCTGTTTCTGCCTCTCGACCCAAACATTGCAGCTTGCATCTTCCCTCCTGGTTCCATCCATCCATCCATCCTCCACCAGCACTGCCGGTCACCATCGGGCGTCCCTCTCTTTCCCTCTCCATGCCTCACATCCTCTGTGCTCCGACACGTATCCATCAATCTTACTGGGCGCTGTAAGTCATTCCTCTCCACACTCCTTTGTCAGCCCCGTTTCTATTTTTCTTCCTTCCTCCCGTGAGGCTTGGTTCCTCGGTGACGGTTGATGACCCTTCCCGCCCACACCATCTGGGTTCCATCGTCCGCGCCTCGAACTCCAACAACTACCTTACTATTCTCCCTCCACCCCCTTACCTGTCGTCCGACTCATTCCTTCGCGACCTCCCCCTCGGTTTCATCGCCGGTACATTGACAGCTTGTCACCTGTTCTAGTGTCGCATAGACTTCCTTCCCGTCGCCGCTCCCATTTCTCCCGGTCTCCGCTGCAGCCTGGGTGCTCGATTCTGCCGTACATTCATCCTTCCGCCACGATCTCGCCAGATGGGTTGATCTTCAACCTTCCTCCGCCCCGAGAGAGATACCCTCACATATCCAGATCAACTTCAACTCTCCTTGCCCGGATGTGCAAGGCTGACCGCTATTTTTTATCTTTCCTGCA